ATATAGATTATTATTTATATTTTAATGTAACACATTCTTGATTCAAATATATTTGACTTATCTCAATGATATATTCTCAAACACAGAACCACATCGAGATTCAATTGTGATAACGTCATTAAAATATTGCATCGAATCTTACCACGAAAATTATTTTATATTTAATTGATCATTAAATAATCTCTGATTTTTGTTTCGATTTCTATTCATAAAGTTATCATGTCCAATACTTGTTTCCGAGGTTATGTCATATAGTGCCAAATTGTGCCGATAGATGGCGAAAACTTGTAACTTCATGTTTCTCGTTAGTACACATAAACGTATTACTTAGTATATAAGCAACATTGTAAGAAATCCTTACCGTACTTGCTTCGGCAGTACATATACTAAAATTGGAACGATACAGAGAAGATTAGCATGGCCCCTGCGCAAGGATGACACGCAAAATCGTGAAGCGTTCCACATTTTTTGTAGTTTTAAACTCTTATTATTTATTTATTTTAGTATTAATGAAATTGCATGATAATTTATTTGATAAGTTAGGTGTCCTAATGATTGAATTGGCAAGCGACAATTAATTTTGTGATGTTATATCAATTGCTGATGGATATTACCAAAAAAATCAATATTTATTAGTGTTTTATTTAATTGTATTAGTGTATGTATGTACATATATATCTATATGAAATTTATTTGTTTTATCGGTGTTAAAAAACATTGACATATAAATTTAGAAAAAGACTATCTATAATAATTTCTTTTAAAAAAATTCTAGGAAATTTAAAAGATTGTAGAATATTATATTAATAAAATTGAACTTTAAAAAACCATCAATATGCATCAATAAATGTGAAAAATATATATACACTTATTAGATAAATTTTTACATAAAAAATTTCAAAGTTTTTTTATATAGTAACGCTTTAGTTTCTCGTTAAGTTTTTAGGAATAATATTTAGCAAATTTATTTATAAAAATTGATTAATTTTAGAATAAAACGATAATAATATAATTCAGTTGTGCTGATATTGCGTAGTTTTTGCATCTCATATACATATGTAGTTTCATAATTTATTACTAAATTTATTCACTTGACAAGATCAAAATTTATATGATTCCTATCTATCTCGATAGGAATACACTTATAAATGGCATTTAACGACAATAGAGTGACAATTGACAATATGTATTAAAGTACTTCATATCTAAAGTGAATAAATTAAAATTCCATCAAAATTGCAGCAATTCTTTTAGCGTAATCATGAATAAATGTAAAGTTTTATTGACCGCATTCTATAGATATAATATGTTTATTTTGCAACTGTTGGAAATTTTCTTCGTGCTGATTAGATTAATACTTTTAAATCTAGAAGAAAATACTTTCTATTTCAACCACAGCGAAGAAAACTTCCAACTGTTGTAAAATAAACATTCTGCTGAACACGGCTAATGTGTATATGTATGTACGACAAGTGCACATATCAGAATATTCGGGAGTGTCATATCATCGATATGTGAACACCAGTGAACGCTGTAGACGGCGCGGCGTCTTGATCTCTTCACATTTACAGCACGATCTTTACGCGATAATTGAAATAGATGCGTAAAGCGTATTGTGCGGATTAAGTGACGACCAAGTCGGAAAAGATCCGCAAAAGCGTCATTTTATCAATAACGGTGCTCCGTCGTCACTCTCGTCGGTGAATATCCTGGACGCCGGTGTCACGAGAGGTTACGTCCGCGAGCGGGATAAATGAATCGATTGTGGTAGTGGGAACAGAAAGGTAAGTGATCATGTCGAGAAAGTGGTTGTCGAATTTCGCGCTGGCCGGTACCATCAGGCTGCTGATAATGAACTCCGAGTACCAAAAGATCATCGGTAACCGTGTCGAGGTGTCGACCGCCTTAAACTCCTGGAAGAGAGGTTAGTCAGATCCTGCTTTGATACACCCTCCAATCGTAGGAGCACACATTTTGTTTGAGATTATATTCGACTGCGTTTTTATTTTAAATTAAAAATTAAAATATTAACATCCTAGAATTGTTGATACTTATTTTCTACTATTTAATTCTTTGGAACTGACGTGTCTATTGGATCCACTAAGTATATGATCATTTGAATAACAAATATTCTGATGAGTAAAAATAATTCATCTTTCTCTGTGAAGTAATATTTATAGATAATAAAAATATTTAAATATATAAAAATTCATAAAAATAATAAAATAATAAAAATACATTGTATTTGAATTTATTACTACTAATTTTTAATTCTTGTATCTATTATTGAAGTAATTACAGTTTTATACAAAAATGTCAAACAATTCAATTTTCTTTACATTATATTTGCAAGTTTGAATTATTGTCATTAAAAATAACTTTTCAATAAATTCTTTTTTATACAAGTTATATCATTTGTTTTTGATTCTTTGAAATTAATTAGTATCTTTTAGTCAACATAAATTAAATGGGTCTCACAATGTCAATAATTGTATCATAGATTTTGAGGATTAAATATTGTTTTGATTAATTAGGATCAGTTTCATAATCATGAAACTTAATATGTTTTTGAATTTCCAGTAACAGAAGGAGTTTACCTGCATAAGTTTGGCATAGACCCATACGAGGGAGATCTATTTCATGAAACTCCAATTGGCTTATACGTGTTCACTTTGATGCAGGAGTATTTACCTCAATGGGCATTATTTCTACTATTTGTTGTCGTTGACTTAACGACTGCCCTGTGCCTCGCTCATGCAGCAAAACATTACGCATTTGAATTGGTCGGTACAATATTGGAATTTAAATTTATTTAATTTAAAATTTTTTCGATAAAAATGTATGGTACTTATTGCAACTTAAATTACAGACAACGAAAAAGAAAGAGGAAAAGGATGAGAATAAGCAGCTTAGTAAAGATGTTCCCAACACATCTGCTCTGTATGTTTCCGCAGCGTATCTATTTAATCCGTACATAATACTAAACTGCATTGGCCTAACAACTACGGTTTTTACCAATCTACTCTACTCGATCGCGCTGGTGTCAATGACGAGACGCTCTGTGCTTTGGAGTTGCGCATCGATAGCGTTATTGACGTTGCAAGGACTCTACCCCATGTCACTTATGGTACCGGCAACTATTTATGTCGCCACTACAGCGAAGAACAGAAAAATTAGTATTGTTACGATGCTAATTGTATTTACAAGCATCCTGGCAATCCTATTTGCTGTTTCTTACTGTATCATGGGAAGCTGGTCTTTCTTGTGGAGTACCATTGGTTTCATTCTAACTGTTCCGGACTTACGTCCGAATATCGGACTGTATTGGTACTTCTTCACAGAAATGTTCGAGCATTTCAGATGGCTTTTCATCGCGTCTTTTCAGATAAACGTTAGTTTATTGTACATAGTCCCTCTAGCGTTACGATTGCGACGCGATCCAATGTTACTAGCATTTTCCTACCTAGCGATAGCTGCCATATTCAAATCTTATCCATGCATCGGAGACGTTGGCTTCTATATATCTTTACTGCCGCTGTGGAAACACTTGTTCCAACGTGAGTTTAATTCGCGATATTTTTATCGTATTATTGAGAACGGTGCGAATTATTCTAATACATCATACGTTTTTTTTTAGATATGCAACAAGGATTCATTGTAGGTTGTTTTTTACTGTTTTGCACGGTCTTTGCCCCAACTGTGTGGCATCAGTGGATCTATTCCAGGTCAGCAAACGCCAATTTTTACTTTGGAGTAACACTGGCATTCGCCATAGCACAAATCTTCCTTCTGACGGACATCTTATTCGCCAGCGTAAAATACGAGTTCGCAGTTCAGCACGGTATTGATAAGAAAATTAACGGAAATGAGGCTAAACTGCTACTCGAGTAAAATAGGCTTTTTTTAGAGCGAAATGTACAATACTCTGCCAATGAACAGTGACAAGTGATACATGTCTTTGAATCATTGCCATGTGAAAAAAATAAATAGTTTTTTACAAAAAAAGTTGTCTTTATTTTGATTGATACATTTATTTTTGGTTAAAACACTTATAATATCACAGTACAAACTTTCTTTTAAAACTTGCTTACCTCTAAAATATATACTAAAACAATTTAATAATTTACAGTTAAAATCATAAACGTGAAAAAAGATCAAGAATTTTTTACACGATTTATTTTCAAATTACATAATCGATATATAAAAAAATCATATATAAAACTACTATAAAATTATTATGGTATAATAATTATTATACATTAATTCCTATAGTTCTATACTTGTAAAAATATTTTATGATATGAGCATACTTATAATGCTTCCGAAAATATTTTACAATGTATGACTACGATCCAATGCTACAAGTACTTGGAAGCATTGGTAATGCCAAATAGACGTACTTAATATAGTTGATTTATAAAACAATTATTATATCGGAGACATATTAAGTCATATTTAACTATTTTAAAACTTCATAATACTGACGTTTTTCAATACTTTAAATTATTTGAAGACAATGGTGATACTATTTCGAACTTCTTTTTTTTGATAATTTATTAAAACCTTTATTCTTAATAATTAATTTAAACGATATATTTATTTTATTAAGTATTTAGCAAATTAAATATTCTGCGTGTAAAATCTCTGTTGCTTGTGTCCGAGCGTGGTGACTTTTCTTATATGCCTGTGCGCACCACGTATATAAATATGTCGTTTAAATTAATTATTAAGAATAAAGGTTTTAAGCGTTACCAAAAAAAGAAGTTATTTTAAGTATGAAACAGTTAAATATCATTGTTTTTATTTGTTTCAAATGCAACAATTAAAAACAATAATATTTAACTGTTTCATACTTAAAATAACTTCTTTTTTTGGTAACTTAAAGCCTCTATTTTTAATAATTAATTAAAAATAATACAACAATTAAAAACAATGATATTTCAAACAGTTAAATGTACAATATACATTTTGCATTCGAATCAATGCAATCAATGCTCATTAAAAATCTACATCATTATTTTTGATCGATCCTTAAAGTCAAGCTTTCCATTTTACGTACAAGTACATCAAATAATACTTCCGTTTTTCTTTTTCCTTTCTTCTCGATTAAGTTTGTTGCATTTGATGTATCGCTATCATTACATAAATAAGTGTAAAGATTGTTCATTAATTTTATTTCACGGTTCTTTTTTAACGGTAACCGTTGAAACGGAACATATCCATTGTGTTCTTTACAATAGTCCCATAATAGTTTCCAACGTTCGTCTTTGCATAGTATATTTGGATCTCCTATTATTATAGTAAGTGCTTTTGCACGTGTTAAAGCAACATTAAATCTCTGCAAAGAATATATATAATTTTTTATAATATATATATATACACAATATATGTAGAACATAATATAATTTTTATAAAATTATATTATGTATAATTTTATAAAATTCAAGATGAGGTATGGCTTTATATGAGCCAACAATTGACTTATTATTGACTGATCCCAAATCTGATCTTGACTCTCAATTATTATGTATAGTTTTGAAAGGTAGATTAAATTAATTAATAGGAAAATGAAGTGAATTGTAACCCCATTAAAATAAAAACTCATATATCATCTACAAGTAATTGGTATATTAAACATTTCTTCTGTTTTATATATAAAATTGGTTTATATAAATATATTAGCATATACACAACAAATATGACCATAAAATGAAATAAATTATAACAACTGTTGGGATGTCGTGTGGTTCCGTGAGAGCGATGGATTCGTAACTCATAAGTCGCGAGTTCAAATCTCGCATCCCATATATAAAAATTCATAATCCATATTAATTACAGAAAAACTCTTTAAATCTCTAGATGACTAGAGTAAGTTCAGAAATGGTATCACTCATCTCTCCTATGACTATTACTTCTATAAAATATTATTAGTGCTTATATTTGATAGTACATGAAATCAATAACATACCTTTGGATTGGACAAGAAACCAATATGCTCTTCGCTATCGTGTTTGAAGAGCTTTGATCGTACCGTCGATAATATTATCACATTTCGTTCTTGTCCTTGAAATGTTTCAACTGTTCCCACAGTTATATCTTTATAATTCATAGCTGCCAAGTGATATTTAATGTGCAGCTGTTGTCGTGTAAAAGGCGTTATGATTCCAATATCCTGCTGTGTTATCGCGTGTGTCTTAAATTGGGTATTCATCAGTATATCTACGTATACTAATACCGACAATACTTCGGCTGTGTTATAGACACTGCAAATATGTTTATACAATATCAAGTAAATATAAAGGTATATAAGTACAAAGTAGATAACTGTCAAGTGTGAATTTGAAATAAGAAGGTTGTGGAAGAATTGTGGAACTTCGGTATTAATAAGTATGTAAAAAAGTTCGCGAGTCGGAAATTCACCTTAGGAAGAGAAAAAATCAGTTTGATCAAATAATTTTTACTATCGCTGATCAACCCTCAAAGTTTCGAAATTTTAAGTAAAATTGTGTACTAAAAAAAATCTATCTGTAATTAGCACAATTAATTTGTTCGAATTTACATCTAAAGAATTCGTCCAAAGAGTTTTTTAGTATAATTTTATTAAAAATTTCGAAACTATGAGACTTGATCGAGGATAGTAAAAATTATCTGATCGAACTGATCTTTTATACATGTTAGTATTAAGGTTCCACAATTTTTCCGCAATCTCCCTATTTCAAATTCATACTTTTGATTTTTTTCGATATTACACTCTATTTAATATTTTTCAGATGAAAAATTTACTAGGATAACTGTCCATATACTATGTCTGTCTCTATTAATGTGCCTTTGTACTTAAATAAGCCATAAAGAAAATTAGCACAAATATAATATAAAAGATATTTTTTTTTTATTAAGTTAAATTATTAACGTATACGATATCAAATAATATTCAATTTTTTAATTATTAAAATATAACAAACATTTTTTGAAAGAAAAAATATATATTTAGAGGAATTTATCATTTATAAATCGAGTAGTATCTCAAGATTGATTCCTATTAGTGTGCCCTGTATTGGAGCTGAGAGCGTTGTGTTACGAATATACATTGAAATTATAAGTATAATTAAAGTAATGATTTATACAATATTAACTTAAACAGTTAAGCGTACATCTATTATCTATTTTAATAATATGTTAAAATTAATCAAATATAAATACAAATACATTAATAGGGCCATCGCTCTTTGGAGGGACATACTAACAGGAGCAAAAATATTGTCTTTATTACAAAAACATTATAAAACATTAACTTTTTTTTTAGATTAAAAAATATTTAAAAAAAGAAATAACTGAAAAACCAATATTGATTCAAGTAAACAAAATTCAAGCTATAATATTTAATAATTCAATAATGAGCAAATTTTGACTTAAAGCACATTAACAGGGACAATTGCCCTAATTATAAAAAATGAAGGCTCCTCTCAGAGTAGTCTCTGCGGTCGTATTTTGATTATAAACGAGAAATGAAATATTGAAGTTCCTTGCATGTCATTTATAAATAAAGATTAAGAATTAATATAGTCGCAATGACTACTCAGAAGCCTTAAATCTTGCTTTAAGACAATTTCAATGACATTTATATACTTAAACATATCAACTTACCTTAGAGATTCACATCTTTGTTCTGTGCCTAATACTTCTTGAAATATCATGGGAAATTTTTTATTGGATAACTGCGACCAGTTCAATGCCATTTGCGTATCAGCTCCTCCACAGACTTTCAATTCGTCATTATAAAATAATTTATTTGACATATATAAAAGATTTCCGTGACTACGATAATTTTTAATTAATTTTGTTATGTAGTTCGGATTATATTTTCCATCCTGCATTTTATACGGATCACAATCATTCATTAATCTTTCTAACATGGATCTTCCTGTTAGGATAATAATAGTTAAAAAAATGTAATATAGATTACATGACATGTAATATCATTTATTACCAATAGAAAAAAACTTACCGAGCAAACGCTCAATTCTCCTGCAACGAATTACAGGTCCTAATTGATAAGGATCGCCTGCGATAACAATTTGTGCTTGAAATCCAATCCCTTCATCCTCAGCTTGATTTGTTACCGCGAGAGGAATTAACATATCTGGTTCAGTTGCCTGACTTGCCTCGTCAATAATTATATAAGAAAAATGATTCTTCCGGAAATTTTCATCAATCAATCTATAATAAACAGTATGAGATATTATAATACAGATTATATAATACAAGGTAGGGCACCTAAAACAAAATACTGGAATATCTCGAAAATTAAACACGGTAAGGAAAAATGTTTCTGACAAAAGTTGTACTATATAAAGGGGGACAAATAATGAAATCATTAAAAAAAAATCGATTTTTCCTCACATGGAGATGTCCATTTTTTTAAATGAAAAATGGTATGATTTTTTTTACATAATATGATTCCTGTAATTATTCTGTATATGAAAGTATTAAGATAATGATATAAAAAAAACCAATAATTTACGAGATATGTTATACTTTATTGTGGCACATTTTAACATAAAATATTAAATAAATCGTAAACTATTAATTTTTTTATAATCGTATCTTAATACTTCTATGAACAGAATAATGAGATGAATTAATTGATGAAAAAAAAAACACATAGTAGTTTATTTTCCAAATTATCCATTTTGCATACATATTTTTTTAAAACAACTGTATTTTAATTCATCTTATTATACTATTCATAAAAGTATTAAGGTACGATTATAAAAAAATTAATAGTTTACGAGTTATTTAACATTTTATGTTAATACATGTCAGAATAAAGTATAAAATATCTCGTAAACTATTGGTTTTTTGATACACCACCTTAATACTTTTATATGCAGAATTAGAGGAACACACCATATTGTATAAAAAAAATCATACCATTCCATTTAAAAAAGTAGAGGCGACTTCCATGTGAACTTTGAAAAATCGATTTTTTTTTTAAATGATTTCATCATTATTTGCCTCCTTAGAATCATATAACTTTTGTCTGAAATATTTTTCCCTATCATGTTTAATTTTCGAGATATTCCATTGTTTTATTTTAGGTCCAATCTGTATATATTTTTTTAAAATTTAATTTAATAATATCAATTTAATTGTAAAATATTACATCTAAATAACATTCATATATAAAAATGATTAATTTTATTTAATCATACAAAAATTGCTGATTAAAAATAAAAATTTAGACTAATAATGTTTAAAATAATAATATACACATGTACAAAAGATGAAAAGAATATTGAATAATATATCAAATGCATACCTTATGGATGATGATAATGTTGAAATAATAATTTTTTTCTGCAGCAGTACATCTTTCGACAAAAAAATTGTAGTGTCTTCAACAAAATTCGCACATGGTCGGATCTCTTTGTCCACAGATAACCTGTTTTTCAATGAATAAAATTCAGTTTATATAATTTTTATCATATTTTATAAAATTTGTTACAATTAAGCAAAATTAATTAGAAATAAAAATGATATTTAAAGATATAAATTTTTTGTGTGACATTATTTATGTTAGAGATTTCTACATAATAAAAAAAAAGAAAAAAAAGAAATCAAGAAACCTATACAAAAATAAAATTTTTACCATTCTCTAGATGGGGCATACATTCGATATATCAAGTTTATTGGAATATTTTTAATCAATCTTTTGGCGATTTCATCAGCTGCTGTATTAGATAGTGTGCATACTAATATGTTTTTCATTGGATATTGTCTCACAATCTATTAACCAAAAAATTAAAATTAATAAAAATAAATAAAATAAATTAAATATAACATTTTATTAGACATTAAGTCTAGCTAAGAAATTACCTGGCATATAGCCTCAACCAATGTCGCAGTCTTTCCAGTACCTGGGGGGCCAAAAATTATATAAGGTGCAGGACGTGCTGTGTTATTTAATATCTTCATCACTGCTTGCTTTTGTCGTTTATTCTTCTTTATATTAGTATTTATCCATTCAATATCACTATACAACATATGTTTACAGTTATGATAACAATATAGTTCCAAATAATAAAACATTTTATTTTAAAACTTACAATTCCATATCTGTACAATTTGTCTTCAATTGTGGATATATAATCTCACGCCAATTACATTCACTCATTATCATTAATGCATAATGACAGCACCTTAATGGCCAATGTTTGCTTTGAAAACTAATATTAAATCTTTTTTCCTTGTCTCTCAATATTTCTGCTTGTCTGAATAACGAAAAAAAAAAATATAATACATGAAATTAATTCTATTACTATTATACTAATATACTACATTGTTATAAAGACTAAATATATTTCCAAGTGTTAAAACATGCAGATGTTAGCAGAGGTTTTTAAAGCAGTTGCATGTCAAGCAAAAGACTAAATTTGATTCTTTGATCTTGCTATTTCGTATAAAGAATTCTGAATAAAAAAATATCATTCATAGAAATAAATATTCTAAACAAATTCAAAATAATGCATTGCAATACTGTGTTCCTTGGAGAATAAAAACATAAAATAAAAATATAGAAAAAAGAAACAGTAATATTGTATCTCAATAAGTATAGATGAAATATATCAAAGTAGAAAGGATATTCATTCATAAAAAAGTACTACTTACTTAGAATGAAAGAACTTTACTGTAACTTCATTTTTTAATACGTTTATGATTTTAGCTCCAATAGGTTTGCTTGCATGAGCTTTGTTTGTATTTTCACAAAAAATTGCAATATCACCTGGTCTAATTAGCTTAGAAGGCTCAATATTTAAAGATGCCAGGTTGATAGTAAAACTCTTTTCTGAATTATACTCCTCAATTGCATAATTTAACAATGTGTACTTTTTCATTTCAAGATCTAGTTCAAATTGTATTAGATACAAGCACATTTTTAATATGATCAAATAATTCAGCTCTGTTATCCTTTGTACATTCGACAAACTTTCAATGCATTTTATGTAATTATTACATAGATCTGAACAGTGACTAGAACTCTGTCCTAAATATATATTTTTTAATGCAAGCTCTAAATCACGTGGAAAATTAATTTCTGGTAATGATGGTGTATGTACTATTGCAGGTACTGTACATATCCTAAAAAATTTAATGGTACATTAAATAACTTAATGAATTAAAATTATAAATAAACATTTCTTTTATATAAAGATATGTAAAACATTAATACGTAATATGAAAGAATTATAAACTGCTCACATTATATAACATGTTATTTGCTAAAATGACAATAGCATGTTACTTGTAACACCATTATCGTTACTATTACCTTTTCATAATGACAATTTGGTAATGACATTACAATTTTTCATGATAATAACGATAATGTCAGAATCGGGAATCTTTTTTGAAAATACTTATTATCATACTTTATCATTAAAAAGAGTAATAAGTTACTTTAAAAAAATGACCGTTCCAACTCTAGCATTATTGTTACTATTATGAAAAATTATAAATTATTAAATCATTATTACAAAAAAGTAACAGCATTATAAATAACATGTCATCCTTGGTTATATATTATTCCCATATTATATATATAAAAGTTACATTTTTTAATTAATTTAATTAGAATGTATTTTTAATATCATAAACAAATTAACATAAATTTTTCTTACATAAGATTCTCGTACTCATTTTTCTTCTGCATGATGAAAGTATATATATTCGTAAAAATTGCTAAATACAAATATCACACCTAAAAATATATAGAAAAAATAAGAATATTAAAACGTTTTCTAATTCTGCACAAATACATAATCAACAATCACAAAAGAATTGCGAACATTTAATGCAAATAACCACAAATTTCACATCAAAATATAAAAAAATCTCTAAATAATTAAACTAATGCTCTTTTTATACGCTTAGGTAACACATATAACGAGTTTTTTTACATTAATATACAGAATAATCATTTATACGTTATCGTGATAAAACGAAAGCCACGTATTACTTCAAAGAATTCTATAGTTACAAAATGCTGATAAGCTATATATATAATATACACAATAATAAGTAATCTTATCCAGTGCATCTTTATCTTCTTGGTGTTACTTGCAGTTATGTTTTATGAATGAGGGGACTCCCGCTGGGTGCAGGGAGTGCATTCAATAAGTGTATTCAGAACAATTCAAACTACAATTTTTTTTTCTTTTTCTTTAATTCGGCCTCGCAGCCGAACTGATTGGACTTTGAAATATAAACTAAGGTAAATTGAATACAAGGCACCGACCACCTCGGACGAATAAAAAAAGATGATGTAATTCAAACGAAAATGGCGAGGCGCTCCCTCAAATACTGGACGCCTGCGGCTACACTTCCGCGCCACATGACCGCGCGCCGAAATGAATGAAGAGACTTCGAATAATGTAATGCAATGGCACTGTCGAAGCCGGCAGCGTTTTTAAAAAATATATTCAAGGTGCAACACCCGAGACAAGAGGGAACCCTGCTTGAATGGTCACGCGGACTTCAAACTACAATTCTGGTGGCAAAAGATAGGTGAAACAATTTGAGTGCGCAGTAGCTGATTTGATTGTAGCCAATCAGAAATTGTTCTAAGAGTGTAAAAAGCAATAGTACAAAATTAGATTGGATAGAATTGAAAAAATTTAGAGGAAATAGGCACAACAGGGAAGCTATCAAAGTATATCCACACAACTTGCATAGCTGCATAACATATGTAAAGAAAATTATCCAATCGCATTTCTCTTACAAAGCTGCACGTAAAATGTGATTGGATAATTTCTTTATGCATACATTTATGCGACTAAGCAAATTTATGTGGATATATCCTCAAGCGAGAAGCACAGACCTTGCACAATGCATAACATAATGCATAAAAAATTAAAGTCCTCCGTTTCCTTCCTTTCTATAAAATAAAGAACTATGATTGCTTGAATTTCTCATGCTTTATGTGTTATGCGTTATGCAAGAGTCTATGCTCCTTGCTTCAGAGTCAAGACTATGTACCAATGGAAGGACGAAAGTCTACCATTTCGGAAGAGACATGCGTAAGGTGTAAACTTAAGCCGATGAGCCATCAATCAATCAGGATACTGCTTTAGATCTACATAATCTGACGGAAATAGAAGTATCAATAAATTTATCCGTAATGCCTACTGCACACTGGACGCGATAAGTGATGAGCGACGAGCAATATCCAATGAGAGCTTTGCTTTGTGTCGCACGTGAGAGAAAGCAGAACTTTTATTGGATATCGTGCGTCGTTCATCACTAAGAAAAATTTCAACTGATTAAAATTTGCTTTATGGATAAGTTTATTGTTATAGTGCTATTTTTATTTTCGTCGTACAGATTACGTACGTAATTAGTGTACAAACCGACATGTGCACTAAAAATTGCAGACTACAAAAAAAATTCATTGTCGCTACTGGGTATGATTATACTGTGCTAATACTTAGAATATATTAAAATTTTATTATTATTAATGTTTAATCTTTGTAAACATTATTAAATAATATTTCTCTATAACTTATGTATATATGTAAAAAAAGACGTAAAAAAAAACGTAAAAAGAAGCCGTAAAAAGAATTTGTATAAAAAAGAATATTATTTTTTAATATATTTTTATGTCTTGGATACGATAAAATAAAATAAATTATCAAAAATTTCGTGGTCTTTAGAAAACACCTCAAAAATTAAGCATGAATATAATGTATTTATCCAATTTGCAATATTCTTAATTAATTTTCCTCAAACGCCACGAACTTTTTAATAATGATTGTATCTAGATTATATCAAAGTAAAAAAATCTACAAAAAATTTTCTTTTACTTACAATTTGAGTATCCGATTATCGCGAATTATTATTTCCAATCTACTTGACTAAATGTGGCTCTTGGAAAAACTTTCATGTAGCCTTTTGTTGATGAATTACAAAAAGATTCGGAAAATTCAACTATTTTTATTTAAAAAGAAACACTTATGTGTAGAAATTACTGTATTATGTAAAATCGAGAAACATAAAATTACACGTGTAAAAATCTATCTTCTTCCCATGAAAAAATCCATGAAAAATCAGATGTGATTTTAGTGCCATCACGCCTTGCGGGAAAAGTTGGAAATATTGACTGTCACGTGATCACACGTATGTATCATTCCATACCTATCCCATACATAATATCACATACGTGATTTTGTGATCACGTGACAGACAATACTTCTAACTTTTCCCGCAAAGCATGATGATACTAAAATTACATTTGTCGGATTTTTCACGAGTTTTCCTACACCGTGTTTTGAGCTCATTTTTTTCGTAACCGGCCTTCAGTTTGATCTTCTTCTTATTACTCTGTGCACCTACCCTTATTTAATATTGGGTGAACAACAAAAATAAAACAGTACGCAAGAGCACTACAATGATATTTTCGAACACAGTCCTAGACCGCGGTCCGATTCACGCTTACAGCGCTATCAACGCGTTCACGGTCAGTCTGATTCGTCTAATTCACTCATTGTTTTGCGTCAGCAAAATGACGTCATGGATTTTTTAATTGCTCACGGCACAGTACGTACAGTAACGTAATTATCCTGATTTTATGTTGGCCAAAATGGAGTGTGCATGCTTGAAATAAATAAATGTCCGTCTCATTTCTTCCTTTTTTATTGCTCTCTCTCTCTCTCTCTCTCTCTCTCTCTCTCTCTCTCTCTCTCTCTCTCTCTCTATTTACATTACGTTCCAAACTTCCTCTTCGAGGAAGATTTTACTCTATATGCTATAGTACGTCACATGTACTATATATTTCAAGCAAATGAACGTTTCAATGGACACGTTCAAGCCGAACAAAGCTGCTAATCTGCTTGCTGAGCAAATGAATATAATTGGTTGTTACTTATAGATCCAACCAATTACATTCAATCGCTCGGCGAGCAGACTAGCCGCTTTATCTGGTTTGAACATGCCCAAGGTTTTACTTAAACATTTGTATATATTGTTTAATCTTGAGAGCTCAATTTTATTCCGAAACTTATTTAAACATTTATCTTTTAAGCATACGTGGTTCAGAGTAGAAATTTAGAGGGAAGTATTGGGTCATCTAAAAAGTATCCGCGGTACTTTGTCACTAGATATATGACCATCAACACACATCTAGTGACAAAAAACCGCGAATACTTTTTAGATGACCCAATATTATGAGCTCCGCACAATAAAAGCAACAGGGAACAGAGAACAGAGTATAAGAATTTCAACCTATCAGAAACTGTGTATTCCATAATACATGATTTCTGATAGGTTGAAATTTTTATTCTCTGTTCTCTGTTCCTTGTTCCTTTTATTGTGCGGAACTCCTTATGTATATTGTCCATTTGGTGAAATGTTATGTGAAAAACCTCGAGAGATTGGTCTAATGTTTGTGAAAAAGTGAAATAAAATGAAAAAGTGAACAAAAGTAACATAGAAAACCGAGCAAGAAAGATTTCCTTTTATTTATTATATTTTAAACTTATCTTTTGGACATATGGGTCATCTAAAAAGTATCCAATAGTCAACACCATCTAGTGACAAAAAACCGTGGATACTTTTTAGATGACTCAATATATAGTAGATACGCGTGACCTGACCACGTGACCAATCATACTTCTAACTTTTCCCGCAAGGCGTGATGGCTAAAATCACATCTGCCGAATTTTCTATGATTTTTCCTATTACGTATTTCGAGCCCACTTTCAGACCTCGAGTTTGATTTCCTTATTACGCCATGATTCTACGTAGTTTTGTAGGGGAATTCTCTTTATGAACAATTCCCTTTTTTTTATCTCGATCCGACTTATACAAGTTGATATATAAAAAAAATGAACTGAAGACAGGAAAAAACCAAAATTTTGCATAAACATTAAAAAATAAAGGCTTTCAGGTCAACGGATTGTGCAACTCACCTGTAAACTCATTTTGATGGTTAGAACCTATTCATATTACAGAAAATTTCCTTATTCGCGAAAATTTCCGGGTATATGACTCCGCTAAAATATAATTATTACGAAAAGTACATTACACTTATTTATTAATTCTTTAATATTACAGTTATAAAATTACATCTAAAAAAAAGAAATCTGCGAAACGTATGATATAATCAGACTGTGTGAAATGTTTATCTAGTATACACATTTAGAATTAACATTTTAACACACAGCAAAGATCGCGATATGTTTTATACAGCACGACGAGGAAAATTATAGGCATTTAAATCTGCTGCGCGCGGAAGTCAAAGTGTCATCCGTAAATCTGTCGGTGAAGTACGTCCAAGTGATAAGACCTGAAAATGAGAATCCTTTACGCTGCGTCGCGAGTGACGCTGCGTTTGAATGTCATCGAGCGTACTTCCGTGGCAGTAACTTTTCCAGGCTTGCCAGTTGCAGAGGAGGCACTAGGATTTGGTGTGGGACTTTGCGACAGAGACGCCCGTTCGTCATTGGATTTCTCACGTTCTAGCCGTTGCTTGCTAAATTTGCCCATGCCGGGTCTATAAATCTCCATTGCCGGGCGATCCTACAATCAAATGAATAGTCAATAAAAATTTTCTTTCAAATAAATATAATATACGTGAAAGAAATATACACATGTATTAATTTTATAAGTAAGCACTCTATCCAGAAAGCAAGTTGATATTATATATTATTTTGACATTAACTGTCACTTTAACATCAAAATAACAAGTAACGTCAGCTTGCTATCTGGAAAGTAATTGTTTCATAAATCATCTATCATAGGAAAAAAAATATAGAGATACAAGGATTTAAGAGAATTATTGAAGAAATAATGAAAAAAAGAATATGGGATACATTCCATGTTTGAGAAAATAAAAATTGCAATTATAATAAAATTAATGAGGAAATTAAAAGACTTTCATATTAAGAATAAAGGTTCAGTACAGAAAATAGTGCCACCGAACAAGGAGTATTTACCTTATTTCGTATTCTTCGTTCCATTCGTGGATCTTTCTTATCCTTCTCTTTCTCCTCGTTATCATTCTTCTGGAGATTACTTTGGTCTCCCCCGTCTAGTGATTTGTGACGTCGTAAACAGTTGCCATCACCTGCACCGCCTTCGCCGCCACTTTCGAGGGAATTACGCCTCTTTACAACTTTCGATTCCTTATCTTCAGAATCGTCTTCATCATTGACATCTGTGCAAATATGTATGTTATATCATTGATGAATTTGTCACAAAAATATTCCTGCACAGATATTTTCCCTCGTTTATTAAATGGATATATAAAATCGACTCTGTTGTGTTGCTAATTAGATAGATATTCATCAAAATATATACCTATTTTATGACGAGAGTAGCTCCTATCTAGCTTTGTATAAAAAGACGTTATTAAGTTCCTGAAGGTGTTGGAATCAATAATGCTAAGAAAAATGAGGGAAGAAGTGAATTCTCTTCTATGATAACTATACGAATAAATTTTTTTCACCTGCATTGACCGAATCGTTTCCTTCTTCCACACTGTCCTGGCAATTTTGTAATGTGTCCATCGTTATCCTATCGTCGGCAGTATTACGTTGCTCACATTCGTTGTCTTTAATGTGTCTTAAATCATCTCCATTATATATAGATTCTTTGCTATTTCCATTTTCCTTCTCTGATACAGTATCATATTCTTCCTTCGCTTTCTTTGAAGTTGTATCATCTCCATTTGCATCGGCAATTTGTTTTTTCGTTTCGGCTAACTTTTTCTTCTCTTGTCTCATTTTCTCGTAACTTTTTCCGCGTCTTTCCTCCACCTTTCTGTCTCTGGACTCCCTAAAGTCTTCCTTCATCTCATATCTCCTGTCGTCTCGAAGCTCGATTCTTCTATCTTCTCTTTCGTCGCGTCTACCATATGACTTTTTCTCATCGTATCGCCGTTGCTTGATTTCTCTTTCCTTATTTCTATCGTCAACTCGGTCTCTATATCCCTTAATGATAGGTTTAATTTCTCGATCTCGCGTTGATTTCTCCCTTATTTTCTCGTCTCTTTTGTTTTTATTTTTCAATTCCTTTGGTGAGAGTTTATCTCTTTCTTCTTTATTCTCTTTATCATCTTTGCTCAATTCTTTATCTAAGTCTGGATTTCTTAAAACCTGCAAATATTAAAAACTATATGTCTATACTATTACTCTATGCTGTTATTTTAATGTAAGCATTTTGATCCGATGTTAAGAAATTAAAATTTTTTAACTTCCTAACATTGTTTTAAAGAATTTTATTTCATTCAAATCATTTCAATCTGATTTTTGTGTCAATGTTCACTAAACGACTTGCTATTCCAAAACTCAAGTAACAAAGAAAGGATAGTCAGCATTTACCCGAAAATTAAGCTGCATATTAATCTGATTCGATCATTTTTGATACACTTACTGCCTTTTACACATTTTTTATCGGTTTGCATGTCACATTTCTTCATTATAGTTTTTGCGGGTTCGTCTTACAACGAAATGTAGAGCACAATTATCAAATACATAAATAATACGTTTTTAAAAAAATTCTTTTCAAAAATTAGGTACAGAAAGAATTATAAATTGACAATGTATGAAATTACATAAAGTTTCGAAAAAATCATAAATATAAAGTTAATTGTGACAAATATACAATAAACATTCCTTTCTCGAGAACCATCACCAAACCAGCTCGTCAAATGTCAGCATCGATTTTTCTGCATGTTCTCACGATACAGCAGTAGATTAATTCACAAAGTTAAATCCTGAGTCCATTCTTTTTACACGCCACTTTGAAGTAATATACGATTCTTTCGGCGTAAATATTGTTACCACAGCTTTTTCGTAGGTCAAGATCAGGAAGAAAATCGCGGCTACTAGCGTAAATGAAAAGAATCTCATATATATTCTAAGGTATTATAAAAATAATTTAAACGGAGAAAAAAATATAACGAATTTTTTCTATCGCCAACGAAGAACTTTTTCTTACATGATCGCCTTTGTAGAAATATAAATAAGTTTTGCGATTAACTTGATTACTGCCAGTTAAATATTGTTTCTTGACTTCAAACATGCTTCTAATTGGTTTTGTCTTTCTAATGTGCTCGTAAAATCTTTCATGAGTCTTATACAGTTTTTCTTGCGCTCGTTTGTATAGAAATCTATTGAGGAAAATTTCTTCTCCATATTTATATGTACTTGCGTTTTCGAAAAAGCATTGAAAAAACGCGTCTTCAAATTTGACATTTGTGCGATGAGGTGTGGGAGAGTTGGGTGATTGTTCGTCTTCCGCATTATATACATGCTGCAGATGAAAATGTATGGCATCAGCAAATACAGTAAAGAATGAAAAGTACAATATAAAACTGTCTTGACCAAATGGATAATAATTACAAGCAAAATAATTATTATATTATTCCATACTGTATTTGTTGCCATTTGATGTATCAATTCGATTATTCTACCTTAGAGATAACAGGATCATCTTTGGTTCTCCGTCTTTCTATATCTCTGCGTCGTCTCTCCTCACGCTTCTCATCCCTAAGACGTTGTTTCTCCTGCTTACGAAGTTTCAAGTACTCGAGCAATGGAGTTGTAGTAATTTTCTTCACTGTATCTATAATATAATCATTATAATTTTAAAACACTTATTTATATGCATATATAATATATATATATATCTACACAAGAAATAATGACTCATATTTGCAAAACAATATAAGAAATATAAATAAGTACAAAATGAGCGAATAGAGTGCATGTTAAAAATAAATTATTTTAACACACACAAAGTATTGTATTTTATTATCGAATTAACAAAAATGTTTTGATTTACTTAATAATACAATTAAATAAAAATAATCAAAACAAATTTTTGCTGATGCGAATTTGTACTAGTAAGACTTAAGAGTTTAAATTAAATATAAATATAGAAATAACGGTTGTAAGTCAAAAACGTCTTGTTTCAACTCAATGTTCGTGTTAAAATAAATTTTTTAAATATATACCCTATTTGTTTGTGTTTTGGTCTATTTATGCCTTATATTTATATACAATACATTTCATTACTTGAATAAGAAATATACATAAAACAAAAAATACTCACTATCTGGTGGTTGATAAGAATATTCGGTTTTTGATTGGGCTACACTCGAATCAATTTCTTGATTCTTTAAATTCTCTAAGAAGCTTATATAATACGAATCACTTTCGATGGTACCGCATTTGACATCCTTTTTTTTGCCCATCCGTTTCTTTGGTAATCTTTGAAAAGGCGCAAATTCTACTACTGCAGGATATTCTACTCCTTTAGAATCTAAGAAGACATAGTTGTCAAACTTCTCCCGAAACATGAAGATGTCTTGTTGCTCCACGAAATTAATATAAGCACGAGAAAATGAGAACTGGCCAAGGGACATGTCTGCCTTCACAAAGTACAAGTAATCGTGTACTGGCAGTGGAGAGACTTGCTCTAAGAATTGATCCTGAGTCATTGATGGAGGTAGTCTTCTGATCACCACCTAATTCCAGTCAACAATATGACACATATAATAATTACTATATGTATATAAAATAACAATATATTACACGTTTTAAAATTAGAGAAAATTTCAATTGTTTTTTATTTAAAAAAAAACTGGAGTTTTCAACCAAAACTGAGAAGTGGAAACCTAAGATGTATCCTTCTTAAATTTTAGCAAGTAGAAACAAATTATGAAAATCATTTTTACAATGAAATGTTAAGCTTATTGTTCCATTCAATATTATTTATAAAAATTTTGCTGAAGATCGTTAAAGGCTGGCATGGATGTATCCAGAATTTTATTCAGAGTGAACAAAAATTTATATTTTTACATAAAATTTATTAAAATACTTATATTAGCTAGCCTTCAAAGATCTTCAGCAAAATTTTTATAAATAATGTTGAATGGAACAATAAGCTTGTTTCATTGTAAAAATAATTTTCATAATTTGTTTGTACTTGCTAAAATTTAGGAAGGCCTTTTACAAGTGCCCCTTCCTTCCCCTCTGCTCCGCTTGCCAACATTCATAGGTATATGTGTTAATTAAAGAATTAGATTATGGAGATCTTAAAAAAGTTAGATCTGAAGAATGCTTCAGGTAGGTTTGAAGAATGCTTATTAAATACATATACAGTAATTTTTGCTTAAATCTGAAATCGCTCTACATATCCACAAGATTTTGTTTAAATCAATAAAATCCAGCCGGTTCTATTCCCCTGTTATTATTTAGCATAACCAACGTTTCAAAATATCTATTGGAGAAGCCAATAAAAGATTGCCTGTTGTGAAGTAAAAAAGTTCGTATCTGTTATGTTGATTCAGACAAACCTTCGTTATAGGACGACATTTTTCTTTTTTGTTATCTTTGGCTTTTCCAACATCCGACGAATTGATTTGCGTATCGTTCTGCACGGAACAGCTATCGTTCTGTGCAGTACTCTCGGATTGTTGCGCTTCCTCGGTCATTCTGACTCACAGTACACGTTTGCGATCACTTTCCAAGATTCAAGAAACTTCCGTTTGCCGTACAATTCGTACCGGTCCGAAATATATAATCGTACAATTTTGCCCTCTCGAAAATCAAACGAAAGGGTCCTTTCTGTTTTACGCGATTAACACGAACGTAGACATCTTGGCTGATCTGGCTGATTTTGGTCGTTCCTGCATAAAAGAAAAGACTGACAGCATTAAGTTTGTTCTTTATTTCTGCACTGTCTGAACTTGCACACTAGAGTTCTAAGGCCTGTTCTTTTTGGCTGAACTTTTACACTAGTTCATCTTTCTTTCTTTTCTCTCCAGGGGGCTTATGACGGGGTGCTTTCCATTTGATGACACAAGTTGATACAAGTGTCGTTCTATCTTTGTCACTCTCTGAATATCAACAAGAATAAAACGACTTGTGTCGACTTGTGTCATTAAATGGCACCTTCTTTAGACAAAGTGAAAATTACAAAAATGAACAAACTCACTAGGTGTTAACCAATGAAGTTATAAATATTCTAGTAAATTCGATCACTTTCACCTCGTTTCAAGAATCGTAATAAGCCCCCAGAAGAAAAGAAGAGAAAGAAATATGAATTGGGCTTCTTGAAAATAAATACTATAATATACGTAACGTATACTATAGTTATCATATGTTTCCTTTTTACAGCTGGAAAAGGAAATATGACAGCTCTCCACTGCGGGCACAATATGGCTGCTTTAATTAGGTAGGAATATCACCAATCAGAAATCGCGATGCCGATGTCGCTTCTCTTATATTGGGTCATCTAAAAGGTATCCGCGGTACTTTGTCACTAGATATATGACCATCAACACACATCTAGTAACAAAAAACCGCAGATACTTTTTAGATGACCCAATAGAATGCACACGGTGCAATAAAGGCTTAAACACAATAAGAATAGGCAATAGACATAGGCACAGAGAATAACGAGCTGTCCAATCAGAGCTCTGGTATGTAAGTTCGATATTATATTGGGTCATCTAAAAAGTATCCGCGGTACTTTGTTACTAGATATATGACCATCAACACACATCTAGTGACAAAAACCGCGGATACTTTTTAGATGACCCAATATCTTAGAACTCTAATTGGACAGCTCGTTATTCCCTGTTCCTTGTGCCTATTGCCTGTGCCTATTGTGTTTAAGTCTTACGTAATAACGAAAATTATAGGGGAAAGCTCCAATTGCATACATCGTTAAGGGCCACTTTCACTAAGTTTCCAACTTAACGGGTCTAGTAACTTTGCAGGATTCCAACTGAAGCTGATGTCAAAGAAAAAATGTGAACTAAAGAGTTAAACAGATTTCACTAATTATAATGAATTGTAATTTTACATATTATATTGAACACAAAAATAGGTTATTAACAAATAGAGAGAAACCTTGCTACATAAGTTAAGTATTACAAATTTATATTTATAACTTCTCTCTTTTCTCATTTTTTTCTCCGACATCAGCTTCAGTTGGAAGTGCAAAGTTACTAGACCTGTTAAGTTAATTGAAGCTTGATGAAAGTGGCCTTGGATATATTGTATCTTATGGCACAATAGAAGGAATAAAGAATTAGGAATAAAGAATAAACCTATCGACGATGTATTCCGACATATCTGATTTCTAATAGGTTGAAATCTTTATTTTTTATTCTTAATTCCTTATTTCTTCTATTGTGGACATTATAGCTGTACCTTATGAGTATATTCACATAACTTGCGTAGCCGCATAAATATATGCGTAAAGAAAATTATCCAATCATATTTTATGTGCGTTTTTATAAGAGAAATGCGGTTGGATATAATTTTCCTTATGCATACATTTATGCAGCTATACAAGTTGTGTGGATATACCTTTAGACTCAAGTGCAGCAAGTGCAAAAGAGAAAAAAAAAGCAATGCGTTGTCGTCGATATGATTCGCAATTCCGCCAGGTCACAAAGTTGTACGAGTTTTCTCGAGTACCGTGCAATAGTCCGTCCATCTCAACGCCACCAACTTCACGATTGTTCACGATGTTACGTTGACATGGCGCGCCGCGAGAGGACGCATCAGTCGCCGTGGAGGCCGCCGGAGCGCCGTAGTTTTCGCGCGGGGCGGGTGTTGTCGTTGTCGCGTCGCAACTTTCGCGCGACCACGAGAGAGAAGTTGGAGTTACCGCGGGGGGAAGCTTGTCGTGCACGGAGGACCGCGCGAAAATGCCGCCGAAGAAGCGGGAAAAGGATCTCGATGGGCAGAAGGGACCTCGTATGGACCAGATCCAGGCTGACCACGAGCTCTTTCTGCAGGCCTTCGAAAGTAAGTGAAAAAAAAAACACATATCGCGGTCTTTCGCCCCGTGTGGGCCCCTTACCTCTTTGCCGCCTATCGGTGGCGTGCGTCGCTCCGTCGCGATAAAAGGTCTCCGACTTCTTCTGCCGGTCACCCCCACACCGATACCTCCTCGAACGACCCCTGCCGCGGAGGGCGCGCGACGCCCTCCTTCCCCTCCGCCGCCGTTATCTTGTTGCCGCTGTCGCCGTCGCCGCTGTCGCGACCGGACCTAACCCTATCCACCGCGAGTCAACTGGAGCGCCCGCCGCACCGTGGCGAGCGTCGTTTCGCTCTCTTCGTTTCCGCGTCCTCCACCGCTTCCAAAACGCGCGGACACCTGTCATCTGTACCCGAACTTAGCTATTGCGAAACAGACCGAGCGATTCCCGACATCGAGATTCCTTCTTCCGAAGTATTCCGGAGGAAGACATCCTTGGACATACAGGCTAAATGCCCGCGGAAAATGTACGTGAGGAAAAGAAAATGATAACTACTCTTTTTATTATGCGATATAGTGATTTAAGGAGAATCAGACTAATTCAGGCTGCTCGATACGAATTAAATATCTTATTGTAATTTTTTTGTTCCTTTTAATTTTTCTTTCGGATTTCTAACTTGTTTAGGTCACGATATCATGATTTAATTGTTTAGTTGAACCAGTAAATAACCTTATCGGGGATTTAAGAAATTAATATAAAAAATCTTTCAATGAATCCGAGTATCCAATTGAAGAACCCAAAATCAGCATGACTAGGTTCAATCACAAGAGAAACACAATTTCACGAAGTCTGAATTCTTTCACATAAAATGCATACGGCTAAATGTTTCTGTTTTTTATGAGAAATTTTCGAGTTCGGAAATTGTCAACTTCATGAAAATGAAAAGAAAATGGGATCAGAGAGGTTTTACCTGCTTGAGTCGTAACAACAAGTAGGATGCAGGCGTCTCAAACAAATTTGAGTAAACCCATTCATCACATCCCATTTTGATACCTAAGAGAAGGATCGTTTTCTTCCTTGGTCGGAATTGCTTTTAAATCCTACGAGATGTATTTTAAACGCGAGAAAGCAATTCGCTTTTAAGGCCATCTAGGGAATCCATTCCGTATTAACACATGGTCATGAATAAGATTTCATTTCTAACAAAAGCAAAAATGTAAAACTGTTAAGTTACAAGATTAATTTTTGAAAAATTAAGAAAATAGATATTATTTTATATATATGAGTAAATTATTATATAATTTTATTTATTCTTTATGATTTATATTTTAATCATAGTTATTAATTAAATAACATGTTTCCTTTTTATTTGTTATTTGAGTTATTTTAATATTTTATCCAATGTATAATAAGTTTAAAAAGTTAATTGTAAATAACATATTTAACTCGTTTATATTATAGAAGCTATTTTTAAACATATATAAAAATAGTGCACATTAGTGTAAAAATTATTGAAAAAAAATTACAAAGAGAAAAAATTATTTATTTAGAGAATGTTTTCCATCATAATAATAAATAAATTTACTGGATTGTATTGGATACTTTATATATTATATAACTTATTTTAACTTATCGGTTAATTAATATTGATTTAACGTATCATTAATTTAACTTTACAATATGTAACTTTTATATTTCATTTTTTCAGAACCAACACAGATTTACCGGTTCCTCCGCACAAGAAATCAAATTTCAGTGAGTAAATAATTTTTTTTTTCATCCTCAGTTTGCTTATAATTTTAATTTGCGTTGCCCTCAAAGCGTTAATTATATTTTGTCCGTTTTTTTGTTATACATGTGTATAATTTTATAAATATGGTGTATCAAAAGTTTCTAAAAAAACATAACGATATATACGAATGTAAATAACCGTAACGATATGAAGCATTTCATAAAGGTAAGTTAATAAATGTTTCTTTGGATTGTTATATTGCCTCAATCGTAATTTATACTTTTATACGCTTTTCAAAATTTCTGTATGTAAAATTAGTGTAGCATGGTAGGTATAAAATTTAAATTTAAGTTATATTATAAAAATTTAAATTATTTAAGGAGCATAAACTATCAATTTTCCTTGGACAATAGATGTACATTAAAATTTAACGTTTCTTTTTAGCCAATATTTCTATATCGAAACTTAACGTATATGCGGCAACGTATGTCCAGAAGTCACAAGTCACGACGAGGATTTAAGGTCGATACGATTCTGGATAAATTAATAGCGAAAAAGAAGCATGAACAGAATCTCGGTGTTCGCGGATACATGACTCTTACGTTTTTAGGATTTTATGACAAAAAAGGTAAGTCTCGATTGTACAACCTGTTTCTCTTGTATGTATCTGAAAAGCTCTGATTTAAGATTGTGATGTTTGTAGCTGAAATATCGCAGGATCCTGTTAAAGTGGAAACATTGTTGTTGAAAATTTGCCACAAGAAAAGAAAAGATGTTAGCTCACCTGTCATGCAAGTAAGTTTGGTATCTATCAGATTTAAAATTTATGGTTCAAAATACTGATCTAGTTAAGTTTTCTGTCGGATCAGCTCTCGATTAAGATATGGCATTTGTTTAGGTTTCAGTCGGTACAAGCGAGGTCCCAATCAATCCTTCCGAGAGTCAACCTCCACCGAAGGCATCCACAATTTCCATACCCAATGAATCTTTCTGCTTAAATAATGGTCACATAGCAAAGACTTATATGCTTTTGCTCAGGGTTTACTGCATGTCTAACAATGGCTGCCTTATAACTAACTGTGATTTAGAAGGTAAGGGTGAGAGTCAGCGCAATTAACTCGCAGAATATTACAAGCCATGTCTTGCAGAACCAGCTCAAAAGCGTCGTAAATCGTCAACGGGTATGATAAAGGTCAATGGCGAAGAAGTGAAACAATATGGTTCGGAGCTTACCGTGTACGATAAACACAATCGATGCCTGTTGACGGACGGCGAGTATGAGTTAGGTTTGCAGGAAGTACAGACCAATGTTAGGTCCAGTCCCAAGAAACACAGCTCTTGGGAAACTGTGGCTGACATCAAAGACTGCGAACCGTTCGACATGTTTAGGCAAGGACCGACGTTAAAGTTTCGGCTCAGTTGGACGACGGAACCGAGCAACGGTCTGGTGGATAGACCGATGCCGATACCTCAAATACCGAGCGGTGACAATAAAGAGAATCGGTCGGCCAACGGTCAGTTCCCTATAGTTATTTTGCGAACGAAACTACTGCAATATATGCACTGAATCACACAAAAACATCGCTTTAAATGTTTAACGTTATCTTTTCAGCTGGTTTTGAACGTTCCTCTTCCGTAAATCACAATAACAATAGCACAAATAATAATAATAATAATAACGCGACACTGCCAACGCCTAGTCCGCTAACGCCCTCGTCGAGAATGAGCATCTCCAACGAGAAGGTGGACACTAATGCTAACGGAACTCAGCAGATAGTCTATCAATTTTTGTACAACAATAACAGCCGACAGCAAACGGAGGCCTGCGAAGACCTACACTGCCCCTGGTGCTCGTTGGATTGCGGCAAATTGTACTCGCTTCTAAAGCACTTGAAATTGTGTCATTCACGATTCACATTCACATACGTGGTAAATACGCATTTTTACAATATTTATAATATATGTAGTATAATTTGTACATTTACGCACACAGTTTATATATTTCTTTTACACTCTTTTATTTCAAGAATAATTCAATTTAAAAGACTAAATTTTAAAAAATGGAGAGAAAATATTTTTCGGCTTGGTAGAAAATAATTGATTAAATCAAATAATAATAATCCCGCGCGCAGTAAAAAAACAGTATATTTTTAACATGATCAGATGTCATTTTTATCATTTTTGTTTTATAATTCTTTAATTTTCTTTTTTAATTGCGACAATTTTGATAATTTTTTTTATGTTAAATTAGTTTACAAGCAATGTTAACTCATTCATGATAATTTGAAAATTATGTTTTTTTAATTATGTCACTTTTGAAGTAAGGGAGATATATATCGACATCAATGGAAAGTACATATATTTCCAGGAAATTGTCATTTTTAATGCTACTTTATCAGATATTTTAATAAATATTTCTAGATACTTCTTAGGCAATATAGAGTTGCAACTTTTAAGCAATCCACAAAATTTTTATGTATCTATATATATTTAGATTTTATGTTTTTTAAAGGAAATCTAATGGATAGATATAAATAATATTAATATCCCTGAAGGATTTTGCAACTACAATACTTTCCATTGATGCATTGATGTCACTAATATATATGGTAACCATGCGTTTGGAAAGAAACAAGCAATTGATTTGATCAGTTAAAATAAAGAGACTCCTCCATGCTGTGCCAGTAATTGAGTGTAAATGTTTTTTCTTCCAGCCAATTCCACAAGGTGCCCGAATTGATGTAGCAATAAACGAATGCTATGATGGTTCGTATGCAGGTAGTCCTCATGAATTAATTTCACAACCGTCTAGTATACCTTTTTCAAGGACAGGACCAACCAGACGTACGAGCGTGACGAATATTCTGGTGTGCCGTCCGAAGAGAACGAAACCAAGTCTGTCCGAGTTTCTGGAACTTGACGAGAATGAGTTCGAAAGTCAAAGGCCTTATATCACCGGCCACAATAGGTAAGCATCATGAGTAGTCACAATAGTTATGGTATAAATAATCTTTTACATTGGACATTATAAACTGGACATGTTCCTTTAGACTGTATCATCATACTGTGACCTGCCTGCCTATATATCCCAAAGAGATGGATATCGATTCCGAGGGTGAGAATGATCCTAAGTGGCTGCAAACAAAGACAATGATGATGATCGATGACTTTACGGATGTGAACGAGGGCGAGAAAGAGTTAATGAAGATGTGGAACCTGCATGTGATGAAGCATGGATATGTGGGAGACTGCCAGATACCACTAGCTTGCCAAATGTTCTTAGAGAATAAGGGGAAGGAGTTGCTCATGAAGAACCTCTATCGCAACTTCGTATTGCACATGTGCAGTCTGTTTGATTTTGGGCTAATCAGTCCGGTGATATTATATCAGACCATACAGAAGTTGCAAGAAATTATGAAGGAGGGCGGTGAAGACGGAGACGTACGTAAGGTGCTGCAAAAATCACACGAGGCTCAAGTGGAGCATTGGAAGGCTACGAGTGCACATACACAATTGGTACATGACGGGTCCAAAGCTGCCGGTGTAACGAGTGGTGTTAAGCTCAACTTCGGCAATGACAGTTCCTCGAGCACTTCGTCGAACGCCAGGCGAAAAACGACAACCGCCTCCATGCCGTTGGGCTCGCCCAACTCGCAAAACGTCAAGAATACAATGCATAACAATATGCACAACGTCAGTACGTAAGCACTGAATTCGTTATCATTGTCGAGGAGTAAGACTGTCATTCACAATAGTTCGATGCAGAATTCCGTTGTCGGTGCGTGCATCCCGCCCTTCTATCATTCTTTGGGGTCCAATTCTCTCCGACGCGGAGCATCGTAAGCAAGATTGTGCCCAACGGTGTGTCCAATTAGAAAGTACAAGCACGCCATCGAGCAGGCGGTCGAACGATCTATCGGCAAAAGTACAAACTGTAGTGCAAGTGACAAGAAGCAGCAGCGTTCCTGCTGTGCCGGATATTCGATACAAGCCGGCAAGAATGCTAGTACTATCGAATACCACCAGCGAAAATTGGTCCTGGACGTGATACTGGCGACAAACAACAATAGCCGCATCGCCGCATCCGCTAGCCAGAAACCGTCCTCGAACGGAGGTAGCTTCCACTAGCTACTTATCAATAGTAGTAAGATCGATTTCGCGCGTTTTTAATGCAAATTGCATCTTCTTTTTTTGTACAGTATTTGTTGCAAGTAATATAGATTATGCAATTGACATTTAAATAAACCGGATAATTATTGTTTTAGCTGTTAGATCGATTTTTGAGATTTAATTTAAAAATTATGCGAATAATTATTACAAATTGAGAAGAGAGATAAATAGATAAAGAGGATATCAGATGAACGATTTATTCTGCTCGCCTCTGTGTCGATGATACCGATCGCGAACAATAAAACACGATACAAACATGCTAATTTTATCATACTTATTCTTCATTTCTTTTTTTTTCTAGTCAGTGGCGTTTTTATTAATTATTTCACCTTTTTTAAAGCTTTTATCTTACATAATATTTCCGATAAGTTCTGGTATATCTGCATAACTGATTTATAAAATTCATAGTGATCCAGAAGCAGCTATTCCAGAATTAACAATTTTGTCACGCGTAATTTTGCATTATAATTGAAAAGAAAAGAATAAATGATATCAAGTTTTGAAATTTAATTTCTAAAGATGACTTTGGATGAGTAAAGCATGAAAAAGAATTTCTAGTTCTACATTCTGCTTGCGAGGTAACTCGCCATCATGGAACATCTTTCTATATCTGATAAATTATTCTTTTATATAGCGAAATGCATACTTTACAAGCGAATTGATCTCGTAGCTGAAATTTATGAACTTTTTATCGCCCTGAATTTAATCATTTTCGGAAATATGCTGAATGATGAAAAAATGCTACGGTATAAATGGTGTGACTATTTCTGAGATTTCAAGCGTGTGCATATATATACATATATATATATAATTATATATTTTAAGTATTATGTATATAATAATTATAAAGAATTACATAATTGTATATAACAATTATATATACATATATGTATATATAATAATTATGTATATAATACATAATATATATGCACACAGACATACACGTACATAAAAAAAGTATAAAAAAAATCTGTGAGGCTGTAAATTATACTTTACATTTTCTACATCGAGACGGATCGGTAGAGTGAAAGTGCCTTTTACCAAACCAAGCGCAGGCCTGAATTCGCACAGCGACGGTCGACGATACTTAAGAAATAATAATAATTATTCATCGTTATTCCTAAATTTCATGAAATCATCTCAGTTCGATTATAATTAATGAGATTAATCATTCAACTCATTCTTTAGTGATCGTCGTTTTTTCGCGAGCGATTCAGACCTCTAGTATATCATATTAGAAATGTTATGACTTTGCGTGTAACATATACAACTTCTACTGCCGTGGTCGTTCGAAGAAGCGCTTACATTCCTATATACATATTGTCTTCTTTATATTGTAGGTAGTCTAATGAAATTTTTTAATCTTAGGACATGCCGCCGGAGCATTTAAGTTCAACGGAATTATCGTTCTCTTCGAGCGACTTCCAATTCACTGTCCAATAATATTATCCATGGTAGGTTGTAAATAGGGAATTAAATGACGAAATAAATATGTGGACGTGAGAAATGTATATTATATAGTCATTTTTATCACACACTCCGAATATCTATGTTTTTTCCTTTTATTAATCCTTAGATTATCGTTTCTTATTCGTTATGTAAAATGATCTAAGGATTAAAAGAATGATTTCGAAATTTCTTAGCTTAAATTAAATCATGTTCAAAAATTGTGCTAAATTTTTACCGTTTGTTTCGTATTATGTATTGACAAACGTACATGTTCATTAAACAATCTTGTTTTAAATATATAATTATTTTTTACAACTTACATTAATTGTGATACTATATTTTGTTAAATATGTCTAGAGATCTTGTTCTTAATGTGGCAAGCTCTCTTTCTCTTTAGAATATTGTCATACTTTATGATAATTACGATAACATATTATGTGTTATCGTAATATATTATTTGCGTATCTAATTGAAAAAACTATTCGTTATGTATGTGCAACAGATCTTGTATTGTTCTGTATCTTCATTAAAACCAAATGTTTGACTCTATCATATTTGAAGTAGCGCGGGAAATCTATATTAATGTAATCTACAGACCAATTCATTTTGTACTTTTCGACACAACGTAAAAATTCTTCGTACATCGGAGCAATGGTATCCAAATCGGCGACAGTGAAAACATATCTTTTCTCGAGAGCGATGTAAATTATCTTTTTCTTTTTCGTATATAGAAGTTTCGTCAACGTGCGGACAAATCCATCCGTGATTTTGTCATCGTATATCACTATAAATCAAAAAAAGAAGTAATCACATTTCTTATATATCTATTTTACATTGTTAAAATGTACAATTATTAAGTTTACCGTCCGCAGCCAATACAATATTTGCGCTTTGCAATTTCTCCTCCAACTTTTTCGGCCATTCTAAGTTTAAAAAATTCACTTCCTCGATATGAAAACCCGATCTAACGTACGTATAATTCCTCAGAAAATTTCGTTCAATTAGATTTAATATATCACCTGCGTTGATATCTGGAATATTTGGACAAATAGATTTAAAATTTTCAACAGACGGGTTTCAACTAGTATTTTCATTACCGGTGCAAATTACTTCTTTAGCTAAGTAACTCGCTACGATACTGGTCAGACCAACCCCAGATCCTAATTCTAGAATTATTTGATTTCTAAACAAATCCTGATGCGATAGAATGTAGTCGGCTAACAAGAAAGCGGCTCTCCACACTTGTAAACCGACTAAATTGAGCTCTGTAGATACACTATGCTCTGTAAATACAATTTACTGAATATGTTTATACACACGAGAATACACGATAATTGATTCTGTACCTATTAGAATTACTCCTTCTTTGTCTCTATCTACATCTAGATCATCGTCACTGTCATAATTTAAAGGCTCGGCTGTGGATGCTGCCTCAATCATGTAAGATGGGCATTTAAAAGTGAATTCAGTTACCGCATCTGAAACCAATTAGGACGTGCATTAAGCATTATTTTTATCATCCAATTATTTGTTAAACATATATAACTTACTGCCATTGTCAAGCTCCTCAGAGATTTGATCATTTTCTGTGTATATTTCTGATGTTACTTTATGCATCGTCGTCTTAGCAAAAAAAAGATCAACGTTAATCAACTTTTTTTTATTTCTTTTTAAATTGATGATCAATAGATATTACGTAATTATTAATTACGTATTACGGGTTATTTATATAGGCCATCATACAGTTTCATTATTAATTTATCAATATTTAATAAATATTATTATATGTACAGAGTAGATGGTATAATAGCTCATTATATTTCACTCATAACGTACTAATTCGTTTGCAATATAAATATATTAATAATAAAAAAATTCAGTGAAGCATATCTCTCGAGTTATATCTCTCGAGTCGTGGATTAACGCGCGTAAATGAATCAGGAATCGACTTCGTGCTGCGACGCTCACGACACGATAATGAAGCGCGTCGTGACTGACCAATATTATAGCCTCGTGACTGCATTTATTTCGGGAATTTGTGTCTTAACACGACAATTATATAATCCATAATCTTATACTATCACGTTGCTCTGTATTATTACTGTATTGAGTAATCTATGTTCAATATTCAAAGTTAAATTACATTGTTTAAAAAAATTTTGTTTTGCTCAATTTACAATGATTTTCTGATTGTAGAGTTTTATTGTTTAAAGACATACGCAAAAGATACGCATTTTATAGTGACAATAAAATGTATTGATAACAATAAATATTTATATGAAAATAAAATTTTTATCAATTTTCATGCGCTCATGCCTTTATTACCATATCTATTGTTTAGGTTTTGTTTCAAAAAGATTATATTTTATTGCATTATAACTTATAAGGAATAACCACCATTTTTTGTACTTCAATAGCAAGAAAATAAAGCTCATCTATAATATTTTTCATATTTTTTACATCTATAGTAATTTTTCTTTGCTGATCGAGAATCTATATTTTCATTTTTTTAGAAAATATTGAATAAATCTATACACATAATAATCTCAAGTGCTAGTGTTACTTGAACTTTCTGCAACTTTTTATAATTTTTATTTTCTCTTCGCCAAAATATATATCTCTTTAAATGCAAAAATTTTATGGATTTGGACTAAATCTATACTAATAATTTGTAGAATGATTGATATGTATTATATAATTAATAATAACTTTTGGGATGTAAAAACATCTCAGACGATTGTCTATCCAGAAAAACTAGATAATTATTTTCAGATCAATCACTTCCATTTAAAGAAAACGCAATGAATCTCAACGTATATTCTTACGAATCACAAAGAGAATCATAAATATAAAAAGAAAAATACTATATTATCAATCGCTTTATGAATCTATTAAAAGAGGCTTAATTGTTACACCTTGGAACGCGTTTTGAGTGGACAATCGTTGCGTCGCGCGTCGTTTCCTCGACGATGTGATCTCAATCTTCGCCTTCCTCGTGGCATTCTCGTCAGCTGTGCCTGTCATTTTGCCATTTACTTCAAGCGTGCGATTGCACGAACGTCAACAGATGTTGTGGTTATGACCTTTTAATTCGATCAAATCGAGATCGGAGTCATTTGAACTTAATCTATTTGCCTTTATGATGTCTATAGATCTTGCGGACTTTAAAATCTAGCCCATTCGTCTCTCCTGATGTCGACTGCATCATCCAACATTGTTAAATCGTTAAGTCGCCAATATCGTTTTACTATGCGGCGCCATTGCGACGCCATGTGATTTTGACAGCCAAGCGCCGTCGATAAAGCTGCAAAAACATTACGTACTGGAGCTTTTTAAAATCATTATCCATTTGTTGAATATACAAATTGCTCAAACAGTATATCTGAATATTAATCAATACAAAAATAAATAAAGAAAATATAAAAATCGAACTGATCTTCGTCCTATTCGATTGTATCTGTCTGGAATATTATATTGTACTTTCGAGCTAATCGTCGAACGGTAATTCGTGGCGATAACCGCAGCCGATTTCAACTGAGGTCAAATCACGGTTCTCGCAAAAAAAAAAAACACGATTCGTTGCTATTTTAATCTGTCAACGATTACTTGTGTCGATTTGCGAGCTTATCGTTTATATCATCCATATTGTCCGTCGGGAGGTTAATTATACATCTCGAAACGAAATAAAATATAATAAATTACAAAAGTGAGTGAATTTATTGGAATATTTATAATTTTATTGATCAACATTTAATGAATTTGTTCGCTTTTGTCATTTTTATCTCGTTTCAAGGTATACAATTAATTAAATTAAGCCGAGGATAATTGGGACTGAAATCTCGCGACCGGCGCGGCAGTGGGTAATGCCCGTCGCGATCGGAGTCGGAGTCAGGTCGGAGTGATGACGCGCGGGTGGCCGCGGATGCCGGGGGAGGCAGCCAATCAGCGATCCCCACGATGAGGACGATGCCACGCGTATGAGGCCGCGGAGCCAACGCGAGACGAGACTCGAGAACTTCAGCCTCCAACCAACTCGCCGACGCAGCGTCGCGCTCGCTCATTCATCGCGCGCTCTCCTCGCGGACGGTGGTGTCTTCCCGGTTTCTTTCGTCCTCGTTCCCGACGACGTCTTCGTCTCAGCGAGGCAAGTCGCGCTTCGACGCGCAAGAAACGCGAAGGAAAGAGAGAAAGACAGACAAAAGAAAAGAAAGTGAGGCATTTGGATCGTCATGAAACCCGTAGGTGTATTCTGTTTGACGGCATTCTGCCTGGTTGCGACCTCCCTCGCCAAGGTCGAAGTCGAGGATGGAGTCCTCGTGGTTACCAAGGACAACTTCGACAGCGTCATCCAGGACAACGATTACGTGCTTCTAGAGTTCTGTGAGTATGATATGTACGTCTCCCGGTGCGCTCTTCGGTTATGTTCAGAACTTAATTTGTACCGGATGCACTCGGGTATCATTTTCCTTGTTTAACATTCGGTGAAGAAAGATAAGATAATACCCGGGTGAAGTTCCTCTGAATGTAGTCCGATCTCGAACTAGCGCGTTCCGAGTGCGAATCGCGAATTTGCGTACGCTCATCGAGTTCGTACGCCTTGTATCTGTTGCTTTTCCGCGGAGGAGCTACACCCTCGCACCTGCACTTTCTGTACTCGCGACCGGAGATGATTGAAGAGCACTGGAGAGTGAAGGAAGCTGGAAGAGTCAAAGTTGATGGGAACGTCGAGGAAGACGAATCCACATCAGGATTATTGAGATACATCTACCGTGCGATTTGCCGTACTCGCTCGCAGGTTCGCCGGTTCTGCCAGATGCGAACCCCGTACACGTCATCACTCGAGCATTTTCGAGGATGGTGATGGGGGACCGGTTAGCGACATGCGACTTTTCAGCGATGATCGTCCTTCGGCTGAAATACTCCGTCTTCTTCTTCTAATCTTTTTTGGAATTCCGAAAATTACGTTAGTTTCTTTTTGCGATCTCTTTCTCCCCTCCCCCCTTCTTTTCTCGGCGTTTGATGAGGAAATCTGTGGAAATCGGTCACAAAGAGAAAAAAAATTGCAAAAGCCCCGAGAAGATCCATATTTGGACGACGTGCGTCTTCGAGACGGTCGTCTATATTTATTTATCGATATTTATTCATCGCGTCCAGCGTCCTTCGGTCGCCCCCTCGCAGCCTGTTTCTAATATTTTTCTCTCCGTTGATCTTTCTGTACCACCTCTCTCTGTCATTCCACGCGTTCGTCGAGAGCTTGAGTGCAGGAAGTGTAGCTGTAAAGATGGTTCTCACTTCTTGGCTTTTTTTTTACCGTTATGCACGATTGTATGCGTCTTGCAAATCGTCTGACGGTTATGAGACCGAGTGTAACGTCACGTTATGATAATGGTGTTGATGACGAGGACAATGACGGATGTAACGGACATATTATATATTTATGCGGACGCAGCATTCATAAATGATACAAATTCGACGCATTAATACGGAAAGAATTAATCGCTTTCTTTTATCGGAATCGAAGTTCAATACGCTGTTATCAATTTTAGATCGCTATCTACTACTTTGCCGACTTCAAAACTTAAACGACCATATGGTATCCCAATAATTCGATGTTAACGAGCAGATGTTTAGAATATTTCGAGAATACGATTTAAATTTTTGAAATAAAGTAGCATTAGATGATTCTTTGATATTTTCCTTTTTTTTTATATATTTTATTTTTTAGAACTGAACAGTTTTGATTCCTTCAAAATCTATGAATCTTAATATATCTTACTCTCCGATATAAAGCCACAGAATTTTTAGATTTAACTTATCAATCGTGAGAAAATATAAATTTGAAAAATTAAATTTTGTAATATTGAAATAGAAATTGCAATTGGATGATTATATATATATTAATATTTGTAAGATTCACGCAAAAGTATTAATAGGCACCAAGATTTTGATTGAGTATGGCCTTCTTCACTTATTCTCAGTCAAAGTATTTGTAATTTGCTGCTTTAAATTTGATCAATATATTCAACAAATTATAACTATATCCATATTAAGTTTTGCTGACAAAACTTACTGATATAACTTGAGAACAAATTATCAACATAAATAGCAAAACTTTGGTTAATTTTGGTTTTTTAATTTGGTATCACTGATAATTTATCAGATTGTCAATAAGCTTTACATGATTTTACCTTCAATTTATAGTTATATTTTGTCAACGAATTTTATTGTATATTTGTTGCCAGTTTCAAAAAATATAATAAAATTTATTAAATTTGATGTCTTTTTGTCGACAAAATTTGTAGTAAGTATTTGATGTTTTGTCTAACATACGAGGCTAATTAGATTTGTGTTAAACGTTTAGGTAATTATTTATATATAATTATCTAAATAATATATAATTTAGCTGAGGTATATTTATCGAGGTACACGATATCACCATTGTTGGATTTTTTAGGCTAAGGTATAATTACAATCATTCTTTCTTACATTTCTTGTATCATGACAATAATTTTCTACTTTTATCTACTAATAGTTTACATTTTAAACTATTATTAGCGTATAATGACTTTATTATAATAATTAGGAATACTAAAAAATAATTACAATAGCTTACCTATTTATATACATATGTAATATGTATATTTCTTGGTCGTAGATGCTCCGTGGTGTGGACACTGCAAAGCATTGGCACCCGAGTATGCTAAGGCGGCAAAGAAATTAGAGGAAACTAACTCACCAATCAAATTGGGCAAAATAGATGCGACAGTCGAATCAGCACTCACTGAGAAACACTTAGTGAGAGGATATCCCACTCTCAAGTTTTACCGTAAAGGAATCCAGATCGACTACACTGGTGGCCGTCAGGCTGACGAAATTGTGAACTGGCTGCTCAAGAAGACTGGTCCTCCTGCTAAAGATTTGACCACGGTTGACGAAGCTAAAGCATTTATTGAGGCACACAAAGTCGCCATTGTTGGATTCTTTAAGGTACAATTGCAATCTTTCTTTTTGCAACCCTTTTCTCACGCCAATAATAATTTTCTATTTTTTATCTACTAATACTGAATATCTTTCGTTTTTTATAAATTATTGTAATAATTAGGAGTAATCTGTTGCAACAGCTTACCTGTTTATACATATATAACGACTTTATTAGGACGTTACAAGTGATGTCGCCAAGGTATTCTTAGAAGTTGGTAGCATAGTAGATGATCATGTGTTTGGTATTACAAGCGCCGACGAAGTATTTAGCGAATACGGAATTGAAGATGGAAAGATCGTGCTATTTAAGAAGGTACATCTATATCAGTCTATACAACTGTATAATATCAATATTAAAGCAATCACGAATCAAATAAATTTCTATTGTTTGAAATCGTAATCTCAAATCTGATTAATCTGTATTTTTTGTAGTTCGATGAAGGTAAAGCCGTCTTTGATGGAGAGTATACAACTACAGCTGTACAGAACTTCATCTCCGTATTTTCGTTACCTCTGATTGTCGAATTCAACCAGGATACGGCGCAGAAGATCTTCAGTGGAGATATTAAGAGCCACTTGTTGCTTTTCCTCAGTAAAGAAGCCGGTCACTTTGAAAAATATATCGAAGGAATTCAAGAGCCAGCGAAGAAATACCGTAGCGAGGTATGAAAGTTATACATCACTCATCTCACTATATCATTTTAAAAAATGATATAATACTTCAAATCGATATAATACTTCAAAATATCTATGCATAGGTTTTGTTTGTAACAATCAATTGTGATGAAACCGATCACGAACGAATTCTGGAGTTCTTTGGCTTGAAAAAAGATGATGTGCCCGCTATGCGGCTTATCAAGCTTGAACAGGACATGGCTAAGTACAAGCCTGATAAACCAGAGATAACCACCGAGAATGTCCTGGAATTTGTCACTGCTTTCGTAGAGGGTAAATTGAAACGACATCTGCTTACCCAAGACTTGCCGGAGGACTGGGACAAGAACCCGGTTAAGGTTCTCGTCGGCACAAACTTCCACGAGATTGCCTTTGACAAGGAAAAGGATGTTTTTGTTGAATTCTACGCTCCTTGGTGTGGTCATTGTCAGCAATTAGCGCCTATTTATGACCAAGTACGTTGGAATTTTAATTGTAACAAATACAGATAATACAGGTAATTTTGTTAATAATCAAGTAATTTTGTTAATCGACGAATATGTTAATTTTAGCTTGGCGAAAAATACAAGGACAACGATAAATTGGTCATCGCAAAAATGGATGCCACTGCTAACGAGTTGGAGGATATAAAGGTTCTGAACTTCCCTACGCTGACACTCTATAAGAAAGAGACGAATGAGGTACGAACCTTTCGTACATCCATCCCTCAACTTTATATTTACAGTACGCTGGAAATGTATTTATTTTGATAACTCATTTTGTTGTAGGCTGTGGAATATAACGGAGAGAGGACACTTGAAGGTCTTTCCAAATTTATCGAAAGCGGTGGCGCGTATGGCGAAGCTGCAGAAGAGGTATGTCAAGGAATTATTTTTAATTGAAAAGGACTAGTACAAAAATTTTTTGCTAAAATATAATAAATTATGCTGAGAATATCTTTTAGAATTTTATGAGGCATAATCTTATATTACAATTATTCTTTATTATTTATTTCATCACAGGCTCAGGAAGAAGATGAAGACGATGATGTGCCAAGGAAGGACGAGCTGTAAACGCACATAATCATTATTATAAGAAGTAAAATCAACATTGACTCGTCTGTTGTATTTTCTGCATCCAGTCAATGAACTCTACAATTTTCCGCTTTACAGAAATATTTCATTTCTTATAAAGATAAAATATTGACGGTTCATCCTCACACATTTGTTACTTTAGGAATTAAGTTTAGGTAAATCGCAATGTACAATTTGTAATTAAGAATTTAGTTCACTGTTTTTCACAGGGTTATCGTCACAACTAATATCAGCTCAAATGGCGTACTTCCGTAATGTGTAGAATTACTTTATCTTGATAGTAAAATACAAATTATGCAAACAAAGATTTATAAGAATTTACAATATATTTGAGGTGTTTAATGTGCGCAATAATAACATAAATATTATTCGTATCTTTATATGGTTACGCCATTTGTGTTATGCATGTTGACTTTACATGACTTTCTGCCCTCTGAAAACTGTGACGTTATCATAGTTTCGCGCTTTTATTATTCCATAGTGTGGAACGTGGGACGAGAAGATAAATTATTAATCTAAAAACATCTTGAAGTCACTCTTTATTTTTATAAAGACTTATTTTATCGACAGATGTCTACATGATTCGTTACTCGTTGCGGCGCGCAAACTGAAACGAATCTTCGAGTGCTCTATGAGAGCTAGCGATTTATAAACACATTTCCAATTTATAGCATTTAAAACTATCATGAAGAGTGATGGTTTTAGATATATTAGTTAGGGTAGGCAGCCGTTTCAATGTTCTCCTAGTTTCAATTGACTGAAACTCTAGGAAATTAGCGATGAGGCACATATTGTGAAAAAAAGAAAAAAGTAAATTACATATATATATATATATAATTCTTAATATATGAAGATTATATATATTCTATTCTGGTTTATGTCTATTTTTTATTACCATTTCTATATATATATATAAATGTATGCTGTATACAATACATTGTATATATAAATATAATTTTTAACATTTTTTCTATACGTATGACTTCTCAAGTTCGCGTGTTCAACTTGTATCCGGTAATCAATTTTAATGTGTTTACATAAGTGAAAAAAATGATGGATGGTTTCATAACCATTACATTTCACATAAACAGGTATTTATCGTTATCTTGTTGCCTTAGGCAATGATTATATTATTTGTTAATGATTAACGCTTTGAGTGGCATTTCTTTTTATCTTATTCATTTCTCATCATTTTTCTATGATAACATTTTATTTATATTTCTTTTACTAGGATCGCAGACATTCGGGAGTAATGGACTGTACGTTGAATTTGTCAAATTTGTACGAACTGTTGCATAACACTTTGTTAATCACAGAAGAAGTGAAGGAAATATTAAGAAAAGATTGTGACGAAGCAGCATTCGTTTTAAAACCGTGGCAGATGAAAACCGTCGTTGAAAAACGAATCAACGAAAACATTTGTACTTGTAAAAAAGTAATCGCGATTTAATTTATATATTTTTACTTTTAATATATGTTCTGCTTATAGGTTGACATGAATTTGTTTTATTTATTATTAATTAATAGAATGAAAACGAAGCTGAGGAGATCGCCGCTGGGATAAGCAGAACGATCGTTCTTGCGCAAGAATTGCGGGAAAAATTGAAGCTTAACGTAACATCGAAAAAAAAACCTTTAAGAAAAAATACAGTTGAAAATATTTACCTATCCAATTCTGCGTCGACTAGCGATCGCAAGAAAATCTCGAAAAGCAATATTACAACGCAAAAAACAAATACCGCTAAAAGCCCCCATTGTAAAAGATCAAGTGCACTTCAAAACGATAAAGTAACTTCTGTCGTGACGAAAAAATCTATCGCCGGTACAAAGCAAAGTAACGTAATTGAAACGGCGTCATCAAAGGCGTCATCTGCAAAAGTTGGATCAGGAAAGTTACAGAAAGGGAAGAATTTTATACTGGAAAATAAATTAAACATTAAGAAGATAAGTTCAGCAAATAAACTACAAATTGGCGATGATTCTGATGATATTCCGCAAAATGTATGCAGTAATGATACAGTCGTACATTATCAGATATAATAGATAGAATATTGAAAAATTTTTTATGTAATTTTTTATTGCGCATTTTTATTTCAGTCAAGAAAGTCTCTAACGCCTGAAACATCAGCTGCTGAATTAAGAGATTTGATACATAAAATGACACGACAATCTACCGAGAGGGCGTCAATTTCTTCTCCCGGGAATATTAAGAATAATTGTCCATTGCATGGAAATGAAGGACATCAGTCTATTCAAGAACAAATTATAGCGATAGATGTAGTGGAAGCATTCCGATACTTTAATGTGCCGCATGAAATTGTTAAAGTATTGAGAACTTATTATGCGTTTTTAAAAACTGAAGATAGCTCGAATGATATTAATGAGGATAGATTTCAGAAATCAGTTAACACTTTTCTAAAAGAATTCGAAGCGATGGTAAGTAATATAAGTGGAAAGAGGGTTGCAGAATATAACCATGCAAGATCATTTGTTAGAAGAGCCTCACTTGTTTAATAAGGCAGCAAAATCAATAACTGTATTTAGTAGCATTCTTACTGAAGATTTAGATTCGAGCCAGTCCAATGACATGAAAATTGCTTCCACTGAAGCAGTAGGAGTCTCTTTTAAGCAATATGATATTAAGAACATTGTAAAACCGATTACAAAAGACCCATATAATCTTTCTTTGACAAGAGGATGGATGTCGAACGGTATTTGGAATATTTCCTGTATGGAGCACTTTAAAAGTAAATTCACACTTTGTATATTAATCACAATTTTAAATTTTAATATAATTAATCTAATCACGCTGATCTCAATTTCTAAATTTTGTTATAGATTTTTCTAAAGCCCACAATATAAGATACTGTAACAAGAAGCAATTATTATCGCTGTACAAAGCAATACAAAAGTTACAGCGCACTACGTATCTGAATACATTAATCGAAATTGTTTTACGCGACGTGATACCCACCGTTAAATTTAATATCAAGCCTGCAAGCGCAGAGTACGCACAAGCATATAAAACGTTGTTCATTCTCTACCAAGGTTTAAATCCCGAAGTACCGGTTTTAGTAAAGACCGATAATTAAGTCTTACAACATGATATATTCTCTGTTACTATAGTAACCACACTGTGTGTGTACTGCCTAATTGACTATCCACTTTTCGTGAAATCATAGACTGGAACTATACACAAATGTATTTTTTGTTATGACTTTTATGACATTATTATGTTAATAACAATCGAAACGTTTTGTGCCATTAAATATTTCTTAATATGTGTGGAAAATAAAATTTTGATATTCAACACTAAAATTGTAAAAGCGAAACTATCTTAGAATTGTGTATTTCCTTACATATAGTTTAAGTTATCTTTGTACACAATGGATTTGGAGTATGCTTATACGAAAAAGAGAATGCATTTCGGGAAGAGATGCAATTTCTCCGACTTCGATAAAACAGAAGTGGAAATCAAATCGAATCCAGCATTGATGAATAATTATATTAGAATGGATCCCGTGACACACGCTACGCAATGCAGTAAAGTTTTTGCGGTTCACGAGGTAAAAATATTTTAATTAATGACATTTGTGAGAAAACTTATAGCAAAATTTTTATACATAGTGTATGTGTTAAGGTAAATACAACTACTGCAACGTATAGGGATAATAAAATGTTTCATTATGAGGGTGGCTGGCCGAAGGACATAAATATGAAGGATTTAGAACAGACAGTCAGATATAGACGTAAGATCGAAAAAGATGAATTGTATATTCATACAATGCTTCAGTTGCTACCTGTAAACATCTCTTTTGTTGTTCTTTTAAAGTTATAGGAATTATCTTATACATTCAGAATTATTTATTAAGAAATATTCTTTTTAAGTCGATGGAGCACTGTATTTTGCAAAACAATGCTTGCAACATTTACGAAGAATACTTCGCTGATGTGGAGGCAATCTCGCTAATACAAAGAGCTTTTTCGCGCACAGTGAACGTTTATCGTGATCCTTTAACGATGAAACGGCAGATCACTCATCTGTCGTGGTCGCCAGATCAAGGTAATCGCTTTGCGGCTAGTTATTGCAACGTTGATTTCAAAAAAACTTTTAGCAGCAATTACACGTCGTACATCTGGGAAGTAGGTGCGTTAAATAAACGGTATAGCCGAGAAATTCGAAACTGATTGATCGTTGATTGGTATATTTACGAAAAATTACTCCATAGAGAATCCAAATAATCCTTACATAACGCTAAAACCTTTTTGTCCGATCCTGACGTTGGAGTACAGCCCTAAGGATAGCAACACCTTGATAGGTGGTCTGATAACTGGACAGGTGGGTTGTTGGGATCTTAGAAGAGGTTCAGAAATAATAGACATCAGTTCGGTTGAGTTTAGTCATAGAGATCCCTGTGATAAAACCCTATGGATTAATTCCAAGACTGGTACCGAATTTTTTAGCGCATCGAAAGACGGACAGGTATAATTTTGTTCGAAACAACAGCGATTATCGACAATGAGTCCATATATCGGGATACTTGTTTGTTTGTAGATAAAGTGGTGGGATATCAGAAGGTTGCAAGTTCCAACAGAAACTTTAGTAATAGATTTATCGAAGCCAGAAAATCAAAACGTCGACAAAGCTACCGGTATCTCGGCTCTTCAATTCGAACCTTCGATGGGAACGCGTTTTATGTGTGGTTTGGAAAACGGTATAATAAATATTGTTGAGCAAATTATACGTTTAGATAGAACTTAAATAATTATATTTCAACATAAAATTTTAAAGTAATAAAAAATAGAATTTTAAATGCAAGAAATAAAAAACGAAACGAATCCGATAACGAATTTAATTATACATTTTTATGAAAAAGAAATAGATTATGTGATAAAACAATGATAAAATAGTTCGTTCTTTAGGTATTGTAATATCGGGAAATCGCAAAGGTAAAACGCCCAGTGAAAAAATTGCAACTAGATTTAGAGCCCAGTATGGACCGGTTATAAGTCTGGAAAGAAACCCAACGTTTGTAAAAAATTTTTTGACAGTCGGTGATTGGACTTCGAGAATTTGGTCGGAAGATTGTAGAGAGTCCTGCATAGCATGGACACCGTAAGTTTAATTGGGATAATGGAACATTTAGAAAACTTTACGACTTTGCTTCGATGTTTTTTAGCGGTCATCGAGACTTTTTAACGGGTGGTGCATGGAGTGCTACGCGTTATTCTGTGTATTATTTAATCAAAGTTGATGGGACTTTAGATGTGTGGGATTTTTTGATTCAGGAGGACAGCCCAGTTCTTAGCATAAAGGTATCTAATTACTAATTAGACTATCGCGTGAATAAATTTTAACAATATAATTTGTTCGAAGGTCTGCGACGAAAGTTTGACCTATTTACGACCGCATGAGCAGGGTCAACTGGTTGCAGTAGCGAATAAAAAGGGCTCGACTTATCTGCTCGAATTTTCGGAGGCTTTAACGGTCAATCAAAAGAATGATAAACTGCTATTAACCGCGGTAAATATTAGATTGATAAAGAATGTATTTTTGCCTATTTTCCTATTAGAACTATAAAAAAGAATAAAAGAATATCTTGCTACATCAATCTCTAATGATATATCTAATTAATAATAATTATTATTATTATTATATATAATTAATTATTTTTTATTATATTTTAATTATTTAGTTTTGAATTTTTAATATATTTTTAAAAGAGAAATTTTTAGGTAAGACATCTTGATAAATGTTCTGTGATATAATGAGCAAAATGAGTTTATTTTTAATTTATCCCAATGTATAGCGCAAGAAAAATATTTGCATGTTTTGCAAATTATTGTTTCTGACATTATAATTCGAGTATAGTAACTGTCGAGATATATTCGTTTCTTTAGCTTCTCGATCGTGAAACGCGCCGTGAGAAGGTAATAGAAGCAAAAAATAGGGAACAACGATTGAAAATGAGGACTTTGAAGATGCATGGTGAGTCAGATTTTACCGATGCTTCCTTGAAATTAGATGAAGGGGAAGAGTCTAAGGAATCTTCTGCCGGTTTGAAAAACGCACTGATAGTGCAATGCGAACAGGAATACGAAAATATAATTAATACGGTGAGGGGATTTTTTTCACTTAACGATAAACTAATCAACTCCGCGCAGATATATTTTTAAATATCGATTATTATTATACTACAGGAATTAACACGACAAGTGGAAGCAAGCATTGAATTGAATAACAATGTGATGCAGAACGGTGCGATTATAAGTTAAACTAATTATGTAAGTTAATGTAAGTAATTTAATTGTGAATAATTTGACGTAAGATATTTTTGCTTACTTGGATTATCACAGTACACATTATAAGAAATAAATATTCTAAGAGGAAGTATTTTGTTAAAACAATTGAAAAACCAAATATAATATATATTAAAATAATAATTTTGTATTTTCAATATTAATCCATCGTTTGCAAACGTACTTTTACTCTTTCCGTCTGCAATTGGAGTCTTTTTTTTCTTCGGCCCAAGTTTTTTTCTACGTGTTCTAGACTTTCAAAAAAAATTCAGAGCTATTTTTCAATATCTCTATTACACATTGCCAAATAGTTTTTAAACGTTAAAATTTTTATTTAATAAAAATTGAAATTTAAGCAACAATGCGAGATTAAAATTTGAGAGTAAAATTTCGCCAAAAAATGATCCAGATTATAGATGGAAAGTTGATGTTGCTATAGTATCACTGCTCTTATTTTAATGCCAAAACATTATTATACCATGTCTCCTGATCTCTGACTTTTTTATTCTATAATATAGAGTTGCTCTTCTTGTTCTTTCCATCTTTCGTTTTTTCTTTAACTTTTTCTCAAATTTTTCTTGTTTTCTCTCTTTGCTCTTTTTCCCACCATTTTGACTCCCCTCTACTTTCTATTTTCAGGATTGGTAGAAATAAAAAAGTAGGAGGTGCTTCGGGATTGTTTCATGAAACATCCCTGTTTGCATTCTTTTCCCTATCCTTCCTAGTACTTGACGTTCAAATTAAAGTCAGTCAACTTGTCTTACGCTTAGCAAGAACATTTCATCCTGTTTTTAATTCTGCGATTCTTTGCAACTACATAACAAGTAAGTATGTCAGCCGAATCATATTCTATTTCAATGACAAGTCGGAATCTAGTAATGGAGTAAAAAATTGTGAATAAAAATACACATATTTCATTTTGTCGTTTCGTTTATGATATAATAATTTAATTGCAGAAATATAATTTTGATTGAAAAAGTGATTACGATTGTATAGTTGTAATAGTTTAAAAAAATTCCAAATCTCTGTGATTTTTAAGAATTTCTGACTAAATAATATGCAGAGCAATTCGAGAGTTCATACTTTTTACTGAATTATATTTTAAAATACATAATTTTCTTTCCTCTCTCTTGAACAATTTTATATTTTTTACTTGTGTCACTTGTTTTGCCGAAGTGCGATAAATCTTGAATCTATCGCACATTTATTATTACGAAACTCATATATTTTTATCTGTTACATGTTAAACATCACTACTAATTTTCCAATAATATTCAAATGTAATAATATAAAATGTTAATATAGTGAGATCAAATTCAATCGAAATAAATCTATATTGATATAAATGCCTTTATGAGCCACTATAATATGAAGGTGATCATAATAAAGGACAACAATACACTCACATATGATATGTATATTATAAAACGATCTTTTTCGGTCGCTATTTAAATTTTTTTTCCCAACATCCATTGAGTCAGAAACTTGGATGTGATGAGCTTGATAGATAGAGTTCTCCTGTTGTCTCATCAACATACTTTACAAAATGATTATTCTCAGAAAGAATACATAAACAGACGGTCTTAATTTGCAGAATGGAACTTCTAGATTTTATATGTTTTTATTATTATAACTCGTTTCTCTCTCTTCAACGGACATAGATCAATTTTTGTATTATTGTCTCATTACACATTTAGTCTTTGTACTGACAGTTCCTCGAATGCTTTTTCCTCACAACAATTATATATATTAGGTGTTGGAATTAATTCGTAATTTTTTAATGAAAGAATGTTATTTATTTCACATGAGCATTAAAAAATACATTAATGAAAGTACTTCCTATCACTTGTAAAACGCTACGAATTAATTCCAACACCTAATATATATACATGTAAGTACTGTAATTTTAATATAAAATCTAAATATATATTGACATCAAACTTTATTATTTAGTAAATTTGTTACTTCGATGATTCTGCTTGGATTAAATATATTCGGAGAAATCTTGCGAAATTATGTTCCCATATTTCATCACAAGTCTGATATCTACTTAAATAGATCACCAATTAGATTTAATATTTAATATTTGCGTTTATAATTTCATATTAGTTTAGCATTTTATTGTATTTACTGAAAAGGACCCGAACCGAGGGAGAAACATATATAGATTTATATTTCTTATTGAATAAAAAATACTTACACACTGTTATCCTGTGTTGACTTATAAAGGCATTTATACCATTATACAGAATGTAAAATATTTAACAGTATAAATTGTTTATAATTTATACGAATTATATTAGATCGGCGATTTGCTCAATGACTAAAATGATTATTATCTATTTATTTTGTATTAACGTACATGTATTGATCATTATTGTATTTTTCAAAAGAACAATTTTTTTTTTGTTAAACAGAAAGAGATATGTATACGATGAATCCCGTGAAGAATTCGCAGCTTGATTTATCAATATTGTTCCAATTTTCACGACATAAACAAAGGCGGATATTAGGACAGTATTTATTTCCGTTGGTTTATAACATATACCCGAATTTTATGCCTGACAAGCTCACAGATATCCTATTAGATATCAATTCTCTTGGAGTATTAATATCTATGCTAAATGATCCGGAATTGTTCCATCTCAAACTCAACGGTGCTATCAACGTGCTTCAAACTTATTATGCTATGAAAAGTAACATCGAGGAACCACAAGATCGAAATCATCTGTATATACATCGTGATGCTTAAATTTGCTTGTTTAACGCCGAGATACTACCGTATCTCCAGATCTAATTATATTCAATTAATTTAAGATAAATGTTTATTGAAAAATAATTAATTGTGATGCGATTATAACTATCCAGCAAACGAGAATGGATTGAAATGAATTGAAATGGATTCAGATTTTCAGAAATATTGATTCACAAATATTAAAATGAATACTTTTCAATCTTGAATTTTTATTCATTTTTATTCATTTATAGGAATTGCATGAAGCATATCTCTATGCTTTTCAATCAAAAATAATATTAATTTTTTCTGTGAATACTATTCAATTCAAATATTTTTTGAATAAAAAATGCAGTTTTTCAATCCAATTGCATCTAATTGAATCCAATTGAATCCAATTGAATCCAATTAAATCCAATTAAATCCAAAAAAAAGCATTCACTATTTAAAATACGCATTCGGATAGAAAAAAATTTCAATCCATTCTCATTTGCTGGGTAAATCTATTAATCAGTCAAATCTTTTTATTACCAAATAATTATTTAATAAATCTTTTTTAATTGTATTTTTTCTTTTTTTTTTATCATATTGTAATTTATTATTTACTGCAATAAAGTGATATGAGGTAATGTAATCCATGAAAGAGATAATTATTCAATAAATTTTTTTTAATTACATTTTATTTTTCCTTATTTTCTCTTTTTCCCTTTTTTTTATTATTTATATTGTAGTTATATTTACTATATTAATGTGATATGAAATGAATAATTAATTTAATTTGTAAAAGGGCCAAAATAATACCATAAATAGTTCACTAAATATAATTATAATTTAGCGAATAACAGCATTTGAAAAAAATGGGAATTTAATTCGTTAGAACCAAAAGTCAGTTGCAGACAATTGTTCCCAAACTATTCTACAAATTGCCATGTTGTTGTGCCATTACTTATTTTCTCCTTTTTCTTCTTTTTTTAGTAGATATCTGAAGTACCATTAAAGGAACTGTTAGGTGTCACATATATCACTTTTAATTTGGATCTATTGTTTTCTTTGTTGCGATTTATTTTCCCGACTTCTTTTATAAGTAAGTTGCGAATATATCTTTTATTTTGAGTGGAGAAAGTAGGTAAAATATATAGAGACAGTTTGCAAAGCTATTATGCACGCTAGTGACACGCTTTTTAAAGACTATTTTTATAGGTCCATGTTCAGAAACAGGTCGAATCTTTCGGACTGCTATAAAATAGAAAATGTACAGATTTTATATTTGTGACTATGAATCGGCAATTCGCAAACACTTCACAGGTGGGTCGCAAATTGTGCATCACTGATGTAAAGAAACAAATTTGAATCTATAAAAGAATACAGTTTTTCAGCCTGTGATTGTCCACAATTAATTTAGATCGGGGGTCGAAAGGCGAGTTTTGAATCAGAAAGATAAGAAGTAAAAATCAGTAACTCGGCTTGCAATTATAAATCATAGAAATTTAGTGGAATAAGATGCTAATGAATTCGATTATGGAGCGTATATTACAAGGAGAAACTAAATGAAAGTAATTTATCGAGAGAAGTGTGTATTAAGGAGCTCGTGGAAAAAATTATTTTTTATTTCATCCCATTTTATCGTACAAGTACATTTTGTAGATTGAAACGTAGGATTAATTCGCACAAAAATTGAGAAAATGTATAAAGGACTGAGTTCGTGGTCGCCGTCGTTCCCGTATCGATCGATCCATGCAACTGCTGAACGTAATCACTCCCACACCTGGTGTGCCGTCAGTTAGTAACACGGTTCTCCTCACCTGGTGAACGTAGCTAAGTAGAATTTATACATCGCGAGTAAATTAAGTCTACATATGTACGTGAATATTAATGAAGATTACAACGAGGACAGAATTATTTTCTTCAGGGCTGCGATGATATCACGGTTGAGTGTATTCGCAAGTTTCATGAGTGATCGATCGGCTCGCACAAGTGGAGCACACGCGATATTCTCTCGTAGACGACCTTCTTTCTATTAACAGTGAGCGTCAGTTGCAGCCTCAAGAAACCTGAAGTCGCAGAGATGGCCACGTCCGCGGAGTCTACGAGAGGTAGGAGATTAAGGAGATCGCGCAACGTTTCCTCTTTCTTCGATGAATCGACGGAGAACGCGATGTCGCCGAAGACGATGAATGTCGTCGTGGACGTTCACCACGCGGGTGAAAGTTCAAGCCAACGACAACAACAAAACAATGAAAATGATACTACAATCGATAAGGAGACTAAACGATCTTCCGAACGATCTTCCCAAAGTTCCAAAATTTCTTCGCGAGCGAGCGAAAGACCTCGGAATCGTTCCTCTGATCGCAGGAGTTCCTCGAAGGATCTTCCCAAACATGATGATTTGATGGTGGAGTCGTTGGATCTGATAGAGGAATTCGAGGCTCCGAGAAAGAGAAATGAGTCTCTCGAGGAGAAACCGCGGCGCAGGAAGCAATGGAATACTGTGGCGAACGAAACGGAAGTAGATTCGAAAAGACCACCGAGGAAACGCTGGTCCAAGGACGCCGGGGTGATCCGATTACCCGAGACGAGCGACGACGCATCCCCGTTGATCGAAGACTCACGTAAAACGCCGGTACCGGCACCGCGAACCAAGTTACGGCGGAGTGACGCCATCCTCTTCGACAATCCGGCGTTCGTGTCCGATAACGAGGACGAAGTGCTCCGGATCGAGACTGATCATAATCGAGAGAGCACCAAGATTGAAATGAGGAGATTGAGCGATCGCTCGAACGTCGAGGACGTGGACGTCGCTGGGATTACGTCCAGCGGCTCTTCGAGGAGGCATCGACAGGAATCGGTGAGCGAACGTCTCGCGGTGGAAAGCGACGATCGTTCTTCGAAAGCGAGATTTTCGGAAAGTCGAAGGAATAGCGTTGGGGAATTCGATTCGTCAGCGAGTCTGGAGAGGATCACTGATGTTCGATCGAGCTCGATCGCTTCCGAGGAACGAGTCTCGAGCAGCCGGAAGTCCAAACCGGAAACGACGCGCGATCGATCCAGGAGGAGAGAACGATCGTTGCTCAAGAAGAAGGAACCTTCCGGTGAAGACGTACTCCTCAGCTCATCCGCGAGGGATGCTAATTCGATGACAGAGACAGATACAAGGGTGAGAAGAAAGAGAAAAAAGAAACGTAAACAGGAAAAGGAGACGAAGGAGAAGGAAGAGGTGAAATTTATTTCCGTAACGATTCACCGAGCGGATGTGCTGGAAGCCGATTACATGAGCGTAAGGCGACCGATGGTCAGAGTTCATATCGTGGAGGCTCACACGGGTTCATATCTGAAGAGCACAGAGAGCGGCGGTACGTATATTCAACCGATGATCACCGGTAAGTTTGACTTCAAGAAGAACAAGTCGATGATACCAGTCTGGGAAGAAGAGCTCATCTTTGAACACAATTTCGACGCGATCATGAGACGCGAGGATGGCGAACAAGTGGTGATTCTCTTCGAAATTATAGAGCTCCTGAGCTTCGCCGACGCGAGCATCAGTTATGACAAAATTGGTAAATTTCTACTCAAATCTTATAAATATATTAGCTAACTAGTTTGTTAGAAAAATGATAATGAGAATACGTGAGGATTAATTATTTTTGTCTTTTTTTAATGCAATTTTACATAAAAGAGTTTATTTTTTCGTTTTTTTTCTAAATTAATTATTTTATTTACGTCAAGTGATTAACATATAAATTACACGCTTTTGAAAGTACGATAACAATTAAATAATCAACAATTAAATTCTCAAGAACAGAGATTTGTTGATATTGAGAGCTAGAAATAAGTTAAATAAATTATTCGATTGTAAATGTTATTAATATATAATATTTGTTGCAATATTTAGGAAATCTTATAATTTTGTTTAGAATTGCATTGAGTTTTTGCTTGCTAAAAATCTAATAATTCACGTTTGACAATTCAGGTAGCGAGGGATGTTGGAACAAAATCGCCTGGGCATTTCTTAAGCCCGTAGGAACTAATAGCATTCTTCATACAGATAAAAAAGTGCGATTGCAACTTTACAAACCTAGACGGAGCTTTAAAAAATACGGCAGACAAAAGTGCGAGGTATTCACCGATTTTGTTATTCGAGCAAATTTCTTTAGTATTTTCTTTATTTCTTTGATATTTGTTAAGAATTGGCATTGCCAATTTTTACACTTTCTATACATTTCCTAAAAAAACTGTCTATGTGTTCCACTTTAATTTATCACTTTCTAAAGTTTTTTCAATTCGCATAAAAATTTTAAGAAAATTTTTTAGGATAAATAGACTATAGAATAGTTTGCAGACCATAACGAGTATCATGTCGTCTTTTAACGTCACTCTATTATTTGGGTTCTTTAAAAAAACCCAGATGAAAATTTTTGGCATAGATATTACATTGAATTCTATTGTTAGATGTAGTGAACAATGAACGTAATTTATCACAAAAAAAGAAAGATCGTATAACTTTTTATTTTCAGAATGCGATACTTTCACTTTTTCGTAAAACTAACGTTATAATATATATATATATATATTCGCTATAGCGAAGGACTAGAAGCTTTAAGACCTTTTTGGGGTGATTTACGTAAAATTTTCGCAACAATGTCATGTTGAACAAACTTTTATTGCTTTTGTTTTGCGTACAGGTTTATACTTGGTGGCAGTCGAACAATAGAGACAAGTATCCCAGCAGTCTCCTGGTAACGGTGACATCAATCCCACCACCAAAACTTGAGTCAGTGCTTTATCAAAAGCTGCCAATAAACGATCTCCTTGATGAATCACAAAATGACTTGCGGGATCTTTCAAAATGTACGTCGGAGTCGATAGGTCTTCCTAAATGGGCGCGATTAGCGGCTCAATCTTGCAAAATTCCGAATGAGAAGATGTTCGAGACGGAAGTGAGCGAAAGAGGCTGCTTCTACGTCGCCTTCAGCAACGACGGCAAGTATCTGGCTTGCGTCCATTCCGAGGAGTACTATTATCCAATTGTCGTTTACGAGGTGCGT